CATTTGGATGATTTCAGATCTGGAATTGTCCATTTCTACTGAACTAAAGGTAAAAGGTAACTGTTAACTTGGAAACTATACCGCTTCATGACATCATAACTGGAATCGAGCATTCTGAGCTTTGGAGATGTAGATAGACTAATAATAAAGGGTTACTCAAACGAAACAAAACACAACTCCAGCTATGTTTTTGATGAGAAAACATTATAACAGTTTAAAGATCACAAGAATCCAATATTGTAATATAGGATCTTTAACCTGCAGATAAAGGACACAGACAAGTTTGTCTAATTCTCAGTCTATGGACAGGCCAGGCCTCATGTGAGAGCTCAGAACCTCCAGAATTCCCTAAAGAGGCTGCACTAGCACTGATTCATGATCGGCTGCAGGCGCTGAGGTTTAAGGAGTAAACATGTAGATCAGAGAGAGTCCTTCAAAGTCCCATAGATCTTTATGCATTTATTTTGTTTATTTTGGGGGCGGGGGTGGTGGGCAGTCCAGCATGGCATGGTTAAGTCCTGGCTAAATCTTGTTTTAGACCTGTTTAAGACCTGGTTTAGTTCTGGTTTAGTGGCGCAGCCCGTGCAACATACAGGAGGAGGGACAGTCTGCGTGATGTATGAGACGGGGGACGGTCCACGCGGTGTAGGGGAGGGGGGGTTCGCACTTGGGGACCCCTGGTTTAAAATGTGTTTAAGATTAGACCACATATGCAAATTTAGTCTGCTTAAAATGTTTTTATTAATGCCAAATGTAATATCCAGCACCAATATGCATGGTATACTTACATTCATCATTTGCATATTTTACTTTACACTCATATTTAGTTTGCGGGACTGCAGTTTATTATCGCAATCCCACCCGCTCCCACAATGAGTTGGTGCAGGGCTCTAGTCTCAAACTATAATGAAAACTATTATGAAAAATATTTTTACTGTACTTTCCAGTCCTGTTTAAAAATGTAGTGGAGTAGAAAGTACAGAAACCTGCTCTCAAATGTAGTAAAGTAAAAGTAAAAAGCATCCAATTTAAAATGTTGTTAAGTAAAGTACAGATACCTAAGATGCATCCCAAAGCACAGTACTTTACTACTTTTACTTCATTCCGCTCCACCACTGGTAACAAGGCAACGTAATGTTTAATCACCAGCACTCTGCACATTTGTTTGTTTGTGTGCGATGTGCTTATCTTTTATTGACACACGCCCGTGCCCCGGCGGAGTGTCACAAATCTAATAAAGTCAGTGATGTTTGGAGGGAGTGCGGGGCGCAGGCGGAGGTACGGGTGGTGGGAGCGCAGGGTGCAGATGGAGGTAAAGGTAGTGCGGCCTGTCAGCAGAGGTGGATCCCGGTCTCGGTCCATTTGGGCTGCAGCGCGGTGTGAATCCTGCGGGGCACATCCAGAACGGGCAGCTGTGAGCGCTTATGCATGCTCCGAAAACACCGTAACACAAGCTCTCCGTTCACACTTCACCGGACGCGTGATCCCGCCGCAGGGCCGACTTTTACGCACCGGTTTACCTGGGCTGCAGCCGGGGGTCCGTAGAGCGAGATGGAGCGTTTAGCCGTGACAGAATGGTGTTACCGCCTCGAAAACAGACCTGGAGTTGTGTTTTGTTTCATTCACACATGTTTGAGTAAACCTTTATTATTAGTCTGTCTACATGTCCAAAGCTCAAAATGCTCTGTTCTAATCCAGAAGTTTGAACATAGGGCCTCATTTCCTAGTGAGTCAGAGTGTTGGAGACGTATAGAGACACTTTTTAAAATATTCCATCCAGTCCTTGTATTTGCAGAGGTCACTGGTGCTAGACTAGTGCACGTTAATGCTGGTCATAACTTAACGTTGGTCATAGTTCTCCTGCCACTAAAAACAGTCTTACCCACTCCACAAAACACCCGAAGCAAAACTATTATTACACCAGACTGTCGATGTAAATGTCTGTGTTGATAGAATAATTTTAGGAGTAAAACCAACCTTGCATTTGAAGGATTCCTGAAAGAAAGCTTGGGAGCAGCGCACTGATATCACCTAGAACCTTACCAGCAAAGTCCAGCACCAGGACTTAGACCAGGACCAGACCAGAAATGAGACCAGGATTGAGACCGGGACCAGGCCAAGACCAGACCGTGATTGAGACCGGGACTGAGACCTGGATTGAGACAGGGACCAGGCCAGGACCAGAGCTTGATTGAGACCGGGATTGAGAAAGGGACCAAGACCGGGACCAGGCCGGGACCAGACCACGATGGAGACCAGGAATGAGACCGGGATTGAGACCTGGACCAGGCCGGGACCAGACTGTGATCGAGAACGGGACTGAGACCGGGAATGAGACCGGGACTGAGACCGGGACCAGACCGGGAATGAGACCAGGACTGAGACCGTGATTGAGACCGTGACTGAGACGGGACCAGGCCGGAACCAGACCATGATTGAGACCGGGACTGAGACCGGGAATGAGACTGGGACTCAGACCGGGACTCAGACCGGGACCAGACTGGGGCTGAAAACGGTCCAGTCCTGGTTTAGTCCTGGTTCAGTCCGGCATCACAGTTTAAATCACGTAAACGGGAAACATCTGTTTGTTCCATTATTCATTTCAACACAAAATCGAAAACTAAAAAAAATAATCATTATCCGTTTTTTTTCAGTTTGGTTTTGGAGACAAATAATGAAGAAAATTGTTGTTTTTTCATTTTCTTATTTTTGTTTTTATATTGAGAAACGAATGAACAGTTGATATGTCTAAATATACAAGGCAAACATGATAAAAAAAAACTATTTGGGCTGCCATTTCCAGTCAATTCAAACCTAAAAGGTCCTTATATTGATCCCTTGATATTTCGCACTATCTTATCTGTACATCGGCACTACACGAGCGTTTGCACCACTGAACTACAAATCTCCCAGTAGTTTTTCCTCTTCAGTAATTTCAACATTTTTCTGCCCCCAACAGGTCACAGCCGGCCTGACAGTACGCTTGTGTGTGCCCGCAAAAGATAAGAAAAGAACCACCCAGGCATTTCATTTTTCAAACAAATAGATTTTTCCCATAGACCTAAAGCACAGAGGGGTAATCCGCATAAGCAGCAGCAGTAGCATTATCCAGGCTATCACCGCAGGGACTCTGTCATCACCGGAGCCACGGAGCAGAGGAGATCCAGGCATTTAGAGCGGAGGCCTGTGGAGGTCTGTCTCCATCTGCTGTCACTGCACTAAACAGCTCACAGGCAGCAGTAGCACTTCATTTTGTTAGTAAAAGTGCATATTCTGGAGCAAAAAAATTATAATGCTCAAGTAGAAGTATCACGTGGAAAAAAATTCTTAAGTAAATGTATTAAAGTGTGTCTTTATTTTGTATTTTGCACAGATTTTTTGATGTAAAAAATACTGATGTAACAATAATCGAAATATCGTGATACTGTATCGTCAAAGTTCTCACAATAATATCATGGACCGTCACAATATATTGAATTATTTGCATAAATTAAGAGTTATGGTGCAGAAAAGCAAAAAAGACAGAGGGAACTACATAGACCATGATCCTTTGCTCCATTTCAGTGCAGACTACAAGAAGAAACAGTCCTAAGCACTTTTAAGTCTTAGTTCTTTGCTCTTTGTGTCATTTTAAGAGGAAATAGTCGCATATTAACAGTTTTATTCGCCTCCACAAAATATCGCAATAAATATCGCACCGTGAGATGCATGTCGTTAAAATATCGTATCGAGACATTTGGATATTGTTACATCCCTAATTGTGAGCCTCCCCACCATATCGTGAGCGTTTCCATGATATCGCAATAAATATCGTACCGTGAGATTCATACCATAACAATATCGTATCGTGAGACTTGGATACTGTTACACCCCTACTAATAAAGCTTCAACTATAGTTATTTTAATACAGATTTGTGCTGATGTTTGTTCAAAAGAAACAGCTGAATTGATTTTCCCAGCTGTTTTTATTTGTATATATTTGTGTACTTATAGATCATTGTTTCCAAAGACTGTTTCACAGGAGATTTTTTTTTCGATCTGCATGTAAGTCTGCAATAAACAGTTCTGACACATGTTGAAATGTTAAGACATGTTTTGTATAATTTGTAATCTTTTTGTAATTATTATTTTATTGACTATTTTGTTCCAGTATTGCTGGTTCAATTGAATGTTGAAAAGAAAAAGAAATTGGCTTCATTTAATGTCCAAATAGGCGACTTATGGATCCTTTTATCGCTGCTTCAATTACTGTTTTTCATTGTTTAAAACTTGAGTAATACTAATTGTTCAGAGAGACACGATCACTCAGTCAACAATAAGTCCCAGCACGAGTCGGAGTCCAAGTCCGAGTCCGAATCCAAGCCCTAGTCAGAGTCCCAATCTGAGTCCGAGTCACAGTCCAAGTTCAAGCTTTATTTTAACACAATCTGACCAGAAAAGGTGATTTGGTTGGAACTATAACAGGTGAGCAGATTTGCAAGTTTAAACAAGTTTCTCACACATAAAACGAGTCACAAGCTGTTAAAATTAGCTGTTTTTCACTTTGTCACTTTCACCTTTTTGTCAAAAATCAAACACAAAGTAAACAGGACCATCGTATTAATCACAGACTTAATCACAGAAATTCTGCTCTTTCAATCCATTTCGTATTGCATTAAGTTTTCAGACGACCTTAAAACTTTTTTGTGTTTGCTAATGTGTGCGTTGTGTCACCGTGGAAACCGGCAAACTTTCCACCAGTAGAAATTCATTATAGAAAACCCCCAGCGTGAGGTTACTATAAAGTATAATTAAAACCCTTTTATAGTTGGCGGTTCGTCCAGAAAAGAGACTAAACAAAAAAAAAATAATAGTTTCTGCTGCTTTTATTCTATTGTAATAAAAATGTAAGGCATGTAATTAGGAACACTGTCATTTTGTTATTTTATATTATATTTTAAATGTAATTCAAATATTCAGTGATTTCGATATCTTATGTGTAAAAAAATAAAGCCACAATGTTTGAAAAAGAAAATGATTTAATGTCAGCGGGTGAAGCGTTTGTCACACTCTGTACAACACAAGGACCAGAAGCTTAACAGTCAACCATTTGTGGCGTCTCACAAAACCGGTTCACTTACAAATCAGAATAAAACTGTGTACTGATGTATAAAAGGGGAAATGTACAAGGTTTGTGGGAGGGTGGGTTCCACAGGGGCCGGGTTTGGGGCCTGTACAGTTCAGTCCTATGGTCGGCCCTGGTTTATACGATGGCATACTGCTCGTACAACAGCTCCCGGATCTTGTAGTAGTCGTCGCAAAGGCAGCCCTCCAGCCCGATCCGTCCGGCCTCCGTCTGAGAAAACAAAACCAAAAACAGCTGATAAGTGTGATTCTTATTTCAGTTTCAATGGTCACAATTAAAATCCCCAAACCTGCATTTTTTAGGTCTGCAAAATGTCAAAATATAACTGTCATTACCAGTTTTTTAATAGTCTGAAAGGAGCACGATGTAACTTTTTGGTTGGGAGTTCGTCACCTTCTTGTTTCTATGGATACGTTATTGCTCTGCTTGGAATGTTCCACAGTATGGCATTAAACGGCTCTACCTTACATTTGTTAAACTGCCTCAATCAAAAATACCTTAAAAAAAACTAAAACTAAACAGGCATTCTGACTGATTCCTCCCCTCACCTATGGGCATGAGCTCTGGGTAATGGCCGAAAGGATGAGATTGCGGATACAAGCATCCGAAATGAGTTTCCTCCGCAGGGTGGCGGGGCACTCCTTTAGAGATAGGGTGAGGAGCTCAGTCACATGGGAGGAGCTCGGAGTAGAGCCGCTGCTCCTCCACGTCGAGAGGAGCAGCTGAGGCTCAGGCATCTGTTCCGGATGCCTCCTGAGCGCCTCCCTCGGGGGATGTTCTGGACACGTCCCACCGGAAGGAAGCCCCGAGGAAGACCTAAGACACGCTGGAGGGACTATGTCTCTCAGCTGGCCTGGGAACACCTCGGGGTCCCCCCATAGGAGCTGGAGGAAGTGTCCGGGGTGAAGGAAGTCTGGCAGTCCCTGCTTAGACTCCTGCCCCCATGACCCAGCCCCGGATAAGCGTAAGAAAATGGATGGATGGATTCTGACTGAATGGGATCGCCTCTCCACAGAGTTGACCTGTAACTTGTTCTAGTTTTGTCTCTGAAGATTTAAAGTTTTAATGTGATACTGTGAAGCTAACAACAAACAACTAGCATACAAATGCACATTTCCTTCTTCCGATTAGATGCAGACATATTTTGACCTCAAGAGTTGCTTATGCAGTATATCTGTACCGAGGCAAGATCAGTTTGACTTAAAAACATGAGGGAAAAAAATACAGGGCCTTCAACCGGAAAATATTCCATATCTGATCAAAACTGCGACATTTATCAGAAAATTTGTTGTAATGTAGCTGAAATCTACTCTTCCTGATATTTAGTCCAACACGGCGCCCACATTTGCTCACACACAGGGCTGTTTAAAGGGCTCATATTACACTTTTTTCTGATGTTATAATGTTGTTTCCTCATCAAAAACAGACCTGGAGTCATGTTTTGTTTCATTCACACACGTTTAACACACACACACACAAACCTTCGTATTTAGGCTGAACTCCACCTTGTGATGTCATGTGGAAATACAGGAAGTGCTCCAATATGTTTTTAATCTCCACACACCTTCACTAGAATCACTTGGATCATTTCAGACCTGGAATTGGCAATTTTTACTGAACTAAAGGTAAAAAATGGTCCCTGTTAACTTGAAAACCACCACCACGTGACATCACACAGTGGTACACGTTGTAAGATTTAGAGATGTGCACAAAATAATAATATAAGATTACTCAAACATGTGTGGATGAAACAAAACAACTCCAGGTCTGTTTGTGAGGAGGTAACAACATTATAGCGCGACTAAAAGCTCACAAGAGTCAATTTAGCGTAATAGTCCCATTAAATAAATATGTTGTGTTTATGGCCTTTTAGAAAATGAAACCTTTTTTCTTTTTGTTTGCACTTGCACAGTCTGCCAGCGGCTCCTCTCCCTTGATCCACTTTCCGGGTTGGTGCTATTTTAAGGTCTTCTCATTTGTGCAGTTTGTTTGTTTGTAGGCACGTTGGGGAAACTTCATATTTAATAAGTGGAGTTGCACTTCCCCCGAAATGAGATGCTGAAAAAGCCACCAGGGCTCAAATCATACACGCACTGTGGTTAGTCCTGCGCGCATCCGGGTTTTTGTTTACTAGACAAATTTTTATATTTTAGAACCGCACCAAAATAGGTTATGTGCAAGCCTGAGTTCCTCTGTTCGACTGAAATCATTCTTAGGAGATAAAAAGTGGTGAAGAAGTACTTGATTTTGTTACTTAAGTACAAAATACTAGGGATGTAACGATATCCAAATCTCACGGTACGATATTTATTGCGATATTTTAAAAAGGCTGATATATAGATTGTAGATAGGACATGTTTTTTGCTTTTAAAAGACCTTGACAAGATTTTGATGTGAATTATTACCATCATAATCCCAAGAATTCAAGTAAAAAACATATTTCTTCATGTTGTCTACACTGAAATGAATCATGGGATATGTAGTTCTCTATGTTTATAAGATGTTGCTACTATAAAACCATGCATTTAAGCAAAGAAACTTGTAATTTGATATATTGTGACGGTCCACGATATTATTGTGAGACTTTTGGCGATACGATATCACAATATTTCTGTTATTACCACATCCCTACAAAATATTCAAGCAAAATGAAAAGTTTCACAGATTTTGAGATCTAGTAAGTAGGGATGTAACAATAACCGAAATACTGTGATACCCTATTGTCAAAAGTCTCACAATGGGACTTTCGGACCGTGCCGTGCTCAGGCGCTGTTGCCTGGGGTTCTATGGCCCGTGTTCACACCTGTGCAGCTGATGGCGTCATCGCACGGCGCCGTTTGTTTGCATGTTGCGCTGCAGAGTTGGCGCTTTTGGCGGAGACGGTGGGAAAAGCAGCATGGAGCATCTATTGAGCGGTGGGACCGATGTTGCGGCGTACGCTCCTCTGTGAGTTTGTGGATGTGGTGGCGGTGCGGGGGAGAGAGGCTGCAAGGGTCATCTCGTTTTTATTTGTTAAGATTTTGTATTATTTGGGAGATCATAGACAAGTCGAAATGTTTTAAATATAATGCAGATGCTTCAATATAATATCAAATATACAAAGTGTAGATTGTGCAGAGTCTAGTCTCAGGGTCTGATCTGATTCTGGTCTAGTCCCCGTTTGTTCAGTTTATTAAGTTTACTATGTTACACATTCCAAGACCAGACTGTGGTAAAAGTAAAGATTTTTTCAACAATGATGGTGAATGGTTAGAAAAGTTAAATAAATACTACACATTGAAATCAGTACAATCTGATCCCCCAAACATCCTGGATCTTATTCTTTGCTATGTTTTATAGAAGTATCGGATTGGGACTCGGTATCAGCAGATACTCAAAATGACTTGGACTCGGGGGCAAAAAAATGTGATCGGGACATCCCTAGTGAAACCACTTCTTGTGCAAAGGTAAAATGAAACACATTTAATTCATCATCAAAACTGTGAATATGTCAAATGTGTCGCATAAACGAGTTTCCTTCCTCTAAACAAGCAACAAAAGTGTAGCTCTGTAACAAAATAATTTAGTAAAATACACCAAAAAAATACTCTTGGCGATATATCAATACAGCAGCCCACAATATTGATACTGTATCATCACATTAAACCATATTTTTGCACACCCCTAGTCTAGATCTAATAATAAATAATAATAATACATAACACTTGTATAGCAGTTTTCAAGATACTCAAAGATGCTTTACATGAGGAGACAAACAAAGGCAAACAAAATTAAATTAAAACACAACGGCCTCCAGGTACTCCAAGGAAGTAAAAAAAGTTTTTAAAAAATCGCACAAGGAAAAATATAGTTAAAAGGCCTTTATTTAAATGGCCAAAGCAAACATGCTTTGACCTTAAGTGGTCTTCATCAGGGCTTAGATCAATTAAGTCGAAACATGTCAGATTTGGTCCTTTAAATAAAGCCTTTTAACTATATTTTTCCTCGTGCAATTTTTTTACTTCTTTGGAGTGCCTGGAGTCCGTTGTGTTTTAGTTTTGATCCTTTTTCCAAGAGCGCCCTCTACCTGCTCCCACTGATTGGAACACCTACAGCAAACAGCCACATTTTTGTTCTTTCTGTAAACATTAAATTAAAGTTAAAATTGTATTGCCCAATTATCGAGAAGTACACATTAGCATACAAGTTGTTACACCATCAGCTTTACCGTCGTGGCAAAACTCCGCTCTGTCCTTTGAAAGTTGTGAAAAGCGGTGAATAAGTAGGATGTTCGGAATGCATATGGAAAGTGAGGAATAACTTTGGACCGCTGCAAACCTTTTCAAATAAACTAGTTCTCTTTTTCACGTTTTTAGAGGAAATATCAAGTCCTGCTCTTTCACCAGCCCTCGTCTTGCACTGTTGTCGTTGTTGTGGCGGTTCGGCGGCTCACGCACTCACCCTGCGGACGGCCACCATGTTGTTGCACACCAGGACGCCTCCCACGAACTCGGCCTGGATGCCCTCCTTCAGGAGCACCTGCTTGAAGTCGGAGAGGCGGGGCTCGTTGATGAACACAGACTCGTGTCCCGGCATCTGTCAAAAACACAACAAGATCCGTCCTGTTACGTAAACGAGAGGGAGAGGGGGAGAAGAAAAAAAAAAAGACACTGCAGCATGGCCTACTTAGTTCAGAACGGAATATTTTTACTTCAGTGACAGAGTGATCAGTGGTAGCGCCTCACAGCAAGACGAGTTATATTTAAATAGAGACGTCAGTGAGGGACTTTTTTAAATGTCGTGTGCGAGAAAGGGTGAGGTGTTGTTACTTTTGTGCCTCGTTTGATATTCTGGACTTTGGTAATTAAAAAACTAGCAGACGAAAATGTACTCCTCAGAATATAAGCATTACATTCGGTCTGATTCCCGGCGTTTTAAAAATAAATGACTTAAATTAAACTAACGAAAAATAAGGTTCCATACAAATTCCCAGTAATATGACCAGTTTTCCAAAGTATAATCTTTAAAGTAAACTCATTCGGATAATTTAATTCAGCATTTTGAGCTTTGGAGACGTAGACAGACGAATAATAAAGGGTTACTCAAAAGTGTGCGTGAAAAAAACAAGGAGGTAACTGCAGTCTAACCAGTGTTGGGATGGTTACTTTTAAAATGTATTCCCCTACAGATTACAGATTACATACATCAAAATGTAATTTGTAGCGTAATCTATTAAATTACTTAAAGTGAGTAACGTAATCTGAATACTTTCGGATTACTTGATTTGCTGTAGAGAAGCAAAGACGAGGAAATCTTCACATAAGAAGTTTTGTCTGCTAAAAGAAAAAGAAAAACCCCAGACTTTACTGAACCAAATTAAAAATATTATAGAAATACTATATATTATATTATGATAGAAGAAGAGGAAACACAGTCCGCATGGCATGGTTTAGTCCTTTTAAATCCTGTTTGAGACCTGGTTTAGATCTAGTTTAGACCTGGTTTACACCTGGTTTTAGCCCTGGTTTAGACCTGGTTTAGGTCTAGTTTAGACCTGGTTTACTCCTGGTTTAGACCTGGTTTTAGTCCTGGTTTAGACCTGGTTTTATCCCTGATTTAGACCTGGTTTTAGATCTAGTTTAGACCTGGTTTAGTCCTGGTTTTAGCACTGGTTTTTAGTCCTGGTTTTAGACCTGGTTTAGATCTAGTTTAGACCTGGTTTTAGTCCTGGTTTTAGTCCTGGTTTTAGTCCTGGTTTAGACCTGGTTTAGACCTGGTTTAGACCTGGTTTAGACTTGGTTTTAGGCCTGGTTTTAGTCCTGATTTAGACCTGGTTTAGACCTGGTTTAGTCTGGTTTAGACCTGGTTTTAGATCTAGTTTAGACCTGGTTTTAGTCCTGGTTTAGTCCTGGTTTTAGACCTGGTTTTAGTCCTGGTTTAGACCTGGTTTTAGATCTAGTTTAGACCTGGTTTAGTCCTGGTTTTAGCACTGGTTTTAGTCCTGGTTTAGACCTGGTTTAGATCCTGGTTTAGACCTGGTTTTAGTCCTGGTTTTAGTCCTGGTTTAGACCTGGTTTAGACCTGGTTTAGACCTGGTTTTAGACTTGGTTTTTAGGCCTGGTTTAGTCCTGATTTAGACCTGGTTTAGACCTGGTTTTAGTCCTGGTTTAGACCTGGTTTTAGATCTAGTTTAGACCTGGTTTAGTCCTGGTTTAGACCTGGTTTTAGCACTGGTTTTAGTCCTGGTTTAGACCTGGTTTAGATCTAGTTTAGACCTGGTTTTAGTCCTGGTTTAGATCTAGTTTAGACCTGGTTTTAGTCCTGGTTTAGACCTGGTTTAGTCCTGGTTTAGTCCTGGTTTAGTCCTGGTTTAGACCTGGTTTAGATCTAGCTTAGACCTGGTTTAGACCTGGTTTTAGCCCTGGTTTAGATCTAGTTTAGACCTGGTTTAGTCCTGGTTTAGACCTGGTTTTAGCACTGGTTTTAGTCCTGGTTTAGACCTGGTTTAGATCTAGTTTAGACCTGGTTTTAGTCCTGGTTTAGATCTAGTTTAGACCTGGTTTTAGTCCTGGTTTAGACCTGGTTTAGACCTGGTTTAGACCTGGTTTAGACCTGGTTTTAGACCTGGTTTAGTCCTGGTTTAGACCTGGTTTAGACCTGGTTTAGTCCTGGTTTAGTGTCTGGCAATGAGTGGAATTACCAAAAAAGAAAGAAGAAAAAAAAAAAAAAGGGTTATAGCCCAAAATGTGAAAACAGGAAAATAACGCCGTGTTCAACAAAGTAACTAATCCAATTATCACTCACTTAAACAGTAACTGTAACTGAATACTGTTACTCATAAATTGTACTCTGATTATGTAACTCTGGTACATGTAATCTGTTACTCCCCAACACTGATTCTAACATGACTTAAAGCTCTCAAGAGACAATTTTGCGTAGTGCAGGTTTTGGGCTACTATTGCAGTCTCCAAAAGTAATGAGTTCTGATCTGTGGTGTCTGGTTTTTCGGACATTACCACAGCCACTGCTCATCATCGTGTTTTTGTGTATTTACAGAGAATTGTCGTGTGGGACCATGGGTGACGTAGACTTGTGGGCGGAGCGTTGGACAGAATCGTACAGCCGTATGAGGAGGGTTTGAATACACTGCAAATTTCTCTGGCCAAGATTTTAAAACGTATATCAGGTTATTCATCTTGTTTTCAGATTTATTATGTACTTACTGGTTCAGACTGGTTCAGAGACACAAAAAAACACAAAAACAGACATCTAGTCTTTCTAAAACAGTCCATTTTAGTGGACTATGTTGGTGGGCGCTGTCATTTTTTGGTATAACATGGTAAAGATGGCACCAAATGTATTTTTTTTCCATTTTTAACACTTAATATCTCCTAGAGTGTTCATCACAGAGGGTCAGTTTTAAAATACAAAGTCAATATCGAACCTCTGTCTTGGAAATTGCACTTTCCGCAGTCCTTCAAAGATGCCCTCAGATTTGAAGAGTAGGATTTTAAAGCAAACTCAACCCCCCCAGAAATCTGTGATAAACCAAAAGCAAAAGTCCAGATTCTACAAGTACATTTGCCAAATTTTATCCCCTGAAAATTTGAAGGACCGACCTCAAATAGTTTTTTTAGACACAGCTCCTCGGAAAACTCTGCTCAAAACAGGTCAGGGGGGAGTTGACAAAATATTTTTTAATGACCAAACTATAAGGAGTTGGGAGCTAAAATTTGGAACTTTTCCTATTTGAAAGTGTGTGAACCTCATAGATTTTTTTCAGTCAAATCTGAGACGGTCGATCGGGGGCATTTGGAGATTTGGTGTGGAATGACCCAGTTTATTTTAAGATAACTTGTCAAGTGAAATTATCTTGCTGCATGGACAGATAATTCCACTACTTAAGTCATTGTCTGATTGATTTAAGTGTTTATATCTTAAATTTCGGCCAGCTTTTTTTGCAGTGTAGGGCCCGGGAGGGAAATCAGCTGGAAAGTCCCCCTGAATATTACTCTTCATGAAACCAAGTTAGTTAATCTATACACATATACATTTAAAAAACTACTTTTTTCATTATATATATTGTATTAATTAGACACGCAAGTTATAGTATATCTCAACACATTTGTTCATGTTGAGCATAAGGAAGTATTCTGATTTGGGAAGGATGAGCACCCTGCTTTTATCTCCTGTTGCATGACATGACACCTGACATGACCTGATTATGTTCATAGCAGCACATAAGATAATAATATTTCTTCCCAAATCAACAGCTACTGATGCTATAGGACATGGGGGACAACAAAAAATAGTTAAAATACGGTTTCATAGTAAACTTCTGTGAGCAAATGAGGATTACCGTATTTTCCGGGCAATTAGACGCGCTCTTAAGCCTCCAACCCCATCAAAAAACGACCGCGCGCCACAATCCAGAGCGCCCCGTACACGAATCCACTCAGCACGACTTCAGTAAACTACAAAGTCGCACCACCCGCAGCGCACGCAAACACACACGGAGCAGACAGCGGCCGCGCGGCGAGAAAGACACCCGTAGCCACACTCATCACTCCACGCCGACGAGGAACGGAACGGAGGAACGAACCGAAAAAGCGAGTGCAATGTGCAACTTCTAGACACGACTGAGTCACTGCGAACACGGCGACAATCCGTTGGTCCCAGACAGCACCCTCCCTACACGCCACAACTGAACAAAGCCCAGAGTCACCGTGAACGCCACAAACAAAGCCCCACTCACGCATCCAACTGTTGTGTTTCGTTTAAAGTCCGGTGCAGTTTATTTGTGAAAAAAGTTTGAAAATAGACCATTTAATGACAGCGCGCCTTATAATCCAGAGCGCCGAATAGGGAATATAATAGGGAAAATCATTAAAATGACATAAACAAGGCCTGACATTTGGACTCGCAGCATTCTCATTTCATTATATTATGAAATAGAATGCTGATTTTCTACAGGGAAGAGGGGGATATTCCTTGTAAGAGAATGGGACACTCGAGCTGGGACTTTCAAACCAGAGGGGACGCCCGAGCCAGTATTCCTCGGGAGAGATCACTAAATTACTAAAACATGGATGGATGACATGTTTTTTGATGAGGGAACAACGTTATAACATGGTCGAAAGGTAGTGTAGTAAGTGTAGTCATGAAAATAAAACTACAATTAAAACCCCCCTCACCTCATGCGTGGGCAGCGGCTCTAGCGTGGGAATGACGTCGCTCTCCTCCGAAAACTCCTTCTCCTCCTCGCCGAACAGGTTCATCTTCAGGGCGCGCTGGGCTAGGGCCGCTGTGGCGTTCAGGTCCACGTCGGGGTCGGAGGTGTCCATGGCGAGCTCCGCCTCCTCGGGCTGCTCCTCCCCCTGCCCCTCCTCGGCCAGAACCCCCATGTCCACCTTGACCACCCGCATGTCCAGCACGCCGTCGATCCACGCCAGCTCCGTGTCCCTCGCCCGGCAGAAGTGCAGCGAGCTCACCAGGGAGTCCTTCAGTCGAACCTGGAGTGTGGAGAGAGAGACGGAGGTAAGGCGGAGGAAAAAACAAAAACAATATACAAAATAAATAAAATAAGATGAGATCCAATAAAATAAGACAAAAATAAATTAAGAAAAGAGATAAAATATGATAAAATAATAATATAAACATAAACTATGATCAAATAAAATAAGCTAAAGTAAAATAAGCTAAAAAATAACCTTAAAAGATAAGAAGCTAAAATAAGTTAAAAAAATAAATAAATAAATAAAAGCTAAAATAAGGTAAACTAAAAAAACAAATGTTTAAAAAAAAGTTAAAATAAGGTAATCTAAAAAAACAAACTAAAGTAAGAAGTAAAAAACGCTAAAATAAGGTAAGTGGAAAAAAATAACCTAAGTTTAAAAAAAAAAAGTTAAAATAAGGTAAGCCAAAAAAACCAAAAAATAAAATAATCAACAAGATAATTTTAAAATTAAAGAATAAATAAAATAAAATAAGGCAAAGTAAAACAAAAAACAAACCTAAAATAAGGTAAGCTTAAAAAAATAAATAAATAAAAAAAAATAAAATAAAATAAGATAGTCAGTCTGTCTCAGGGCAGGTGTAAATGTAAGTAGGTTTGACCTTGATGTACAGAAGTAGATTTGTATCTGTATTTTATTTTTAGCCATGGTAAATATAAAGCAAGCTGTATTGTGTGTTGGCTTTGCATAAGTATTTCATGTATCTTCAACTTCAAATGTTATGGATGAAAAACATTTTGCAACTATTTTTCTTTTGATTTGATACTGTAACAACCCAAATTTCCCAGGTTTTCTGTATATAGTGACCTGGTAGATGTGTGTCTCGCTGGTGGCGTCTATCGTCTCCTGTAGCTTGGGCGTGTAGACTTTGAGGTCCTTGCTGAAGGCCCGACAGGACTGAGCCAGGTCCAGACTGGCCTCAGGAGAGCCGTGCACGATCACCAGCTGACGAGGTTTCATCTGGTTTATGATCTTCTTTATGGAGTCTCCATCAGAGCGGCCCTCGTAGTCGATGTACGACACTCTGGCCCTGAAGGAGCGGGAGAGATGACGGGTTTTTAATGAGCTGTGATTTAATACCTTATGTGAGACTGAAAAATGTTGCATGTCAAATACGGCGGGATCAGACTGCCTGCCGTGCAGCCTGGTGCAGTGGCCGTGAGGATTCTGAATAATTCAAGTAGAGGAGCTCAGAGCGCACACGTGCAGGCCGGCGGTGCCAGCGGAGGTGCCACAGAGCTCTGGATTCTTTCTGATGGACTCCGCTCTGACCGGAGTCAACCACTGCCCTGTCTCTTAATAAATAAATAGTTACATGTAGTTATGTGGTCTCGCGTGCAGCTTCAAAGGCGGTGACACAACAACACAGCAGAGATCTCCCCTGAGTGTCACACCACAACTGAACTGTGCCCACACTGCATCTACAGCTGGGCCAGGCGCAGTGTGAGAGAAGCATGAAGCTCTTATGAGAAAATCCACCAAAGTGTACCGGGCACAGCCTTCACAAACTCCACAAATTCATGGTCCTTCTCAGAAACAGTTTATTAAAGAAAACAGAGCTTCTTCGAAAAGTTACTAACACAATAATTAATATCACTACAATTTCAATATTTCACAATAACGCCAAGGTTTTACATCATCATTAGGGGTGTAACGATATCCAAGTTTCACAATACGATATCATCATGGTACAATATGTATTGCGATATCGTGGGAAAACTCAAGATTAGGAATGTAACGATATCCAAATCTCTCGGTACGATATTTTCACAATATACATCTCACGGTACAGTATTTATTGCGATATTTTATGGAGACTAAAAAAACTGTGAATATGCGACTTTTTCCACTTAAAATGCCTTGACAAGACTTAACCCAAAGAACTAAGACTTAAAAGTGTTTAGAACTGTTATTTCTTCCTGTAGTCTGCACTGAAATGGAGCAAAGGATCATGGTCTATGTAGTTCACTTTGTCAAAGAGACTTGTAATTCGATATATTGTGATGGTCCACGATATTATTGTGAGAACTCTGACGATACGATATCATGACATTTCGGTTATTGTTACATCCCTAATCATCATACATTTTGAAATTTATGTTCCTTATTATTATTATTATTATATATTGGCTGCAGCAAAACTTGAATTTCCCTCAGGATCAATAAAGTAACTCTCTCGCTCTATTAAGTCCAGGATGAGCTTTGATTTAGTCTTGGTTGTGTCTCTTATGGTTTTACGGTTTAACATAATTTGAATCAATAAATGAAAAGGTATGTACTTTATTTTAATATACCGTATTTTCCGCACTACTGGGCGCGCTCATAAGCCTCCAACCCCATCAAAAAACAACTGCGCGCCCCACAATCCAGAGCCCTATACACGAATCCACTCGGGTGTCCCAGCACGACTTCAGTAAACTACAAAGCCGCACCACCCACAACGCACGCAAACACACACGGAGCAGACAGCGACCGCACAGCGAAAAACACCCACAGCCACACTCATCACTACACGCCGACGAGGAACGGAACAGAGGAACGAACCGAAAAAGCGAGTGCAATGTGTCACTTCTAGACACAACTGAACAACTGAGTCACTGCGAACATGCCGACAATCCAGCGATCCCAGACAGCACCCTCCCTACACACCACAACTGAACAAAGCCCAGAGTCACCGTGAACGCCACAAAAAAAGTCCCACTGACCCATCACACTGTTGTGGTTCGTTTACAGTCCGGTGCGGTTTATTTGTGAAAAAAAGTTCGAAAACAGACCATTTAATGACAGTGCGCCTAATAATCCAGAGCGCCTAAGACTGTGTTCAGACTGCAGCCTGAAGTGACCCAAATCTGATTTTTTGGCCTCTATGTGACCTGTATCTGATCTTTTAATGACAGTCTGAACGACACAGATCCAATTTTTTCAAATACGACCCAGGACACCTGGATATGTGGTCCTGAAACCGATACCTGAAAACCAATCTTTTGACATGCGACTTCAATCTGAACGGCCAAAGCGCATTCATTCGACCTACACGTTATCAACAAGCCACAAACGTCACTATTCTGCGATGAAGTAGGTGAAAATTGTTAATGAACTCCGTGTCACTGAAGTGAAGCACATCACCACTCACCACTCTTGGCTACGTCTCCACATCCACACGTTTCTTTCAACAGACGTCGCTGCCGCTGCCCCACAAAACACCACGGCCAAAAACCTCGTCCTTCTCCTTCTCAATCTCCTCTTTAAAACAAGTAAATTGTTCATGTTCTGGCTCCGGTACGAGAGGAATCGCCAGGTGCTCAATGCTCGCGTCCATGTTTGGACAACTTCCGTAAACACAGAGCACGCTCGCTGAGGTTGACGTCATCGTGTCTCCAGTGTCACATGCGGGACACTTTCGGGACGTTTAATGTTCACACAGGGGATCACATACAAGTCACATTTAATTGGAACTGTGAACGACCTCGCAAAAACATCGGATTTCACAAAAAAATCGGAACTGAGCGTTAAGCCCTGCAGTCTGAACGTAGCCTAATAATAGTGCAGAAAATACAATAACTGAAAAGTGACAAAGAATATATTAAAGGGCCCGTACCGCTCTAGTAAAGCCCTTTTTATTTCACTGACCTGATCTCGAGGTTTTCGATGCTGGACACACACTTGGTGGGCACCACAGACAGGTCTTGGTCCATGGGCTCTTTAGCTCCGTTTGTCAGAGCAGACTCCAGTTTGATCTTCTCCTCTTCATTCGCCTGGAGCTCAGGAACCAGGAAGTCCTCAAGTCTGCAACACGACACAGTCTGGACTGGTTACCTAAATGTCTGCTCAAGTCCATTTTATATCAGACTAAACAATACCTAATCTATGTTTTATTATTTGTCTATGCTGTATTTTTACTCTCAGGAAAAACTATTTTGAAAAGATTAATGGGGAAAATAACCAAAAATTATCCACACATTTTGAACTTTGTTTTTGTTATAGGGTCTGTTCAGAAATTGCATTAATATTAAATAAATGCAAATGAAACACAGAGATATTAACCATAAAGCAGGTCAAAACACTTACACAGCAACTTTTAACAATGGTATATTGAACTTTCATCTAGATTTAAAAAATATTAATACTACTGCTGCTGCTGCTACTACTTCTACTACCCAAAATTACACTCAGTTGTTCCAAAATGTGTTTTTTTTTTATTTTCCAGTTTCAAGCCTTTCCCTTGTAATGTCATAATCAAGTCTGAAACACAAGTCATAAGTTCATGTTGATCTTATAGAATCATTCATTTTTCAATATAAAACCAAAAATAAGAAACTGAAAAAACAACTATTTTCTTCATTATTTGTCTCCAAAACAGATAACGATTCATTTTTTCATTCTTTTCAGTCCCGGTCTCAGTCCCGGTCTCAGTCCCGGTCTCAGTCCCGGTCTCAGTCCCGGTCTCAGTCCCGGTCTCAGTCCCGGTCTCAGCCCGTCTCAGCCCCGGTCTCAGCCCGGTCTCAGCCCCGGTCTCAGCCCCGGTCTCAGCCCGGTCTCAGTCCCGGTCTCAGTTCCGATCTGGTCCTGGTTTCTGTCCCGGTCTCAGTCCCGATCTGGTCCTGGTTTCTGTCCCGGTCCTGTTCCTAGTCTGTTCCTAGTCTGTTCCTGGTCTCAGTCCCAGTCTGGTCCTGTCTCAGCTCTGGTCTGGTCCCGGTCTCGGTCCCGGACCTGGTTTAGTCTTGGTTTAGTCCTGGTTCAGTCCATATGTGGCGCAAAAGTTCGAAAACTGAAAAAACGAATCATTATCCGTTTTTTCATTTTGGTTTTGGAGACAAACAATGAAGAAAATTGTTGTTTTTTTCTTTTTCTTATTTTTGGTTTTATATTGAAAAACAAATGAACGAATGATATGAATGATAGACACAGATCTTATTGGGCACATGAGGTGGATTTTCCTTGTTATATGACATTATTATTAGATATAATATAATGAAGAAGAACATGAAGTAGTAGGACTTCTATGTTAAATTGCAATCTAAATACTTGATGATCTCCCTGTACATGGGCAGAACATGGGCTAGGACTGATATTTAGTTAAAAAGTACCTGATTATGATCTTGTATATTATATTAGAAGTACCTAAAGATCATGTGTAAACAGGAGTAGTACTTCTATATTCTATGATGTTCTAAGTACCTGATGATCTCCCCGTACTCGTCCCACTTGATCCTGTCCTCGTGCGTGGGGAACATGGGGTAGGACTTCTTGGCCTGTTTGAAGAAGCTCCCTTTGGTCCTGCCCTCGCTCTTCATCATCAGGTCGTGGTGTTTGCTCTTGGCGGCGGCCGGCTGCTCCAGGTCATCGTCCATGTCGCTCTCGTCGCTGGAGTCCATGTCCACTCTGAAAACACAACAAAACGGGTTACATGTGCGCTGTTCGGGCTGATTGGAAGAGCTGGTACTGGTTAACTTCGGTGATATTCTAGCGATATGTGTCAGTTCACAAACTCACATGAATCTGTCTTGAGATATTCCCACTGTAAGTTTAAAATTGGAGCGCGTAGAAAAATGACAAAGGCAAAACCCCAAGTGAACCAAACAACAAACACGACAACACCGACTGACATTATTTTTGCAAAAATACCGACTACTTAGTTTGTGAAAAACGTGCAGAAGTGGAGTGAGAAGATGTGTGTGCTTTTCTCTCAAATGGATGTAAGAAAAGTTCGGTCGAAGAGTCACAACAGCGAAACAAATCAATCAGATTCAAATATTTGTCACATTCCACCTTTTTTCACACGTTCCACCTTTACCCGATCAGTCTGACATGAACCTGGTTAGGCACTGGGGCAAGATGAAACACAACTGAGTAGAGTCTTTTTAATTTAATGGTTAAATTGTTTTAGTCCAGGATTTTGTAAAAAACTATTTCTAACTGTAAACCTATTATAACCCTAAAATGTAGCTATACTTAATATTTTTAATTACCGTATTTTTCAGAATATAAGTCACACTTTTTTCATGGTTTGGGTGTTTCCTGCAACTTATACTCCAGTGCGACTTATATATTAAAATTTTCACACTGACAGCCTCAAGAGGGCGCTCTAGTCTTGTGTGTCAGTATCTGCTGCTCCTGTTCCTCCTGTACCACTGTCACTTTGCTCTACTGCACATGTCTCCTGCAGAAAAAGCCTCTGTCCTGCTGCAAGTAGTGAAATATTCAGCTGAAAATGGTAATCGAGCAGCAGAAAGAAAGTCTGGAGTGAGCAAGAAACTTGTGAGGGACTGGCGGAAAGCCGGGATGGAGAACACAACTTTCCTGGAAGTCATTGGACGAATCAACAAAGCCTGGATTTCACTGGACACTGAAACCATCCCGTCGGGATTCAGAAAGGCCGGAATAATTCTATCTGGAACTGATGCCGAGTTTGACGACAGCTACACAGAAGAGGAAGCGTAGCGTTTACCTCCGGAGGTCATGGAGTTGCTCAGAAGTGACACAGAGGATGAAGAATTGAATGGATTTAGTGAGTTGGAGTGAGATGGAGAGTTTGGTAAACTTGTTCTGTTCTGTTGCTTATGTTATATTTATCTGAAGAACTGTTCATATGTGACGTTAACAGTCTGTTGTTCTCTGTTCTATTGTTATTATTATAGTAACTTGCCTTTCAAGATAAAATGTCGGTTCCTGGTCTCTGATTTTATAAAAATATATTTCCCCTAAAAGTGCGATTTATATCTGTTTTTTCTTCTTTTTCATTACGCATTTTTTTTACTGGTGCGACTTATATTCCAGAGCTACTTAGAGCCCGAAAAATACGGTACTCAAATACACTACAATATGATTTTTTTTTATTATTACATAATTACTGAATCATAAATCAGATAACAGATCATTTTTGGATGAACCCACATTTACCTTCTACTTGAATAATACATTATAGTCTCCATACTTCCACTTCAGTCCACATTTTTGCCCACCTCATCTCCTTCCACAGTGAGAACACACACTGCCTTCGCTGGGGCACGAGTTTAGCGTCGCAGCTGGATCGTGACGCAGGCCTCTTTCCCTTTTGGAATGGCCCTGGGCTGCGCTTCACTATCTGGGCCACTATTTGCATCTAGTTTCACGGTACAACAAAAACTGATGACACCTCGAAAATACAATGTGCTGGTTCGGCTCTCAACAAACAACGAATGAGTCTGCATTTCATCCTCATCAAAGGACAAAAGCAGGAGAAATAAGGTAAATAAATTATTCTGTTCACCATTTAAGGCCCTATATTATGCAAAATTTACTTTATGCCACGTTATAATGTTGATACCTCATCAGAAACCCCGAGAGCTGTGCTTTGTTTCACTCACACATGTTTCAGCTATTCAGAAAACGTTCATTTTTGTCTTTTTGTGACTTATTTTTAGTATCAATACCTGCATAGATGAGCAGCAAGTTTTAGTACTGATTTATATCTGATTTTCAATACTTTTGACACCACAGTGGAGCACTTCTTGTACTATCACATGACAACACAAAGTGGAACAGAGTGTTTTCTGTTTAAGAGAAAAACCCAGCCTAAATCTGCAGTGTTTGTGTGTTAAAAATGTGTGAATGAAACAAAACACAACTCCCGGTATGTTTGTGATGAGAAAACAACATTATAATAGAACAGAAAATAGAGCAATATTGACCCTTTAATGTGACAAGGATTTTAGAATTTAGTCAGTATTCAGTCGTGTTTGAGTCCAAATCTTTTAAAAGTGCTGTATCATCTTAAAACTTTTCAGTACTTTTGATAACCCTACTTCTTGTATCACAACTTAACAACTGTTTCACTTTTTTTTTCAGAGCGTTTTCTGTTTGAGGGAACCTAAACATGTAGGGTTTGTGAGTTAAACATGTGTAAATTAAACAAAACACAACTCCAGGTCTGTTTGTGATGAGGAAACCACATTATAAAATACAGTGACTTACTCTTTCTCCTGCTCCAATTTTCTCTCAGCTTCTTTCTTGATCTTCTCTTTTTCGAGGTATTCGTCCAACTCTTTTCCTTCGAGCTTCACGCGTTTCTTCACCTGAGGGACAGACGACAAGATGAGTTACAAAATAAGCCAATCCAAATACCATGAAAGTTTGTATATTCATTTAAAATTCAAGGTACACTGTGTATCTTCTGGCGGAGGCTATGCAACCTGCTCGTCTCCATGGAGAAGTTTTTGCTTTGCCAAGAAAATTAAAAGGTCCCATATTACGCTGTTTTATGATCTATGTTACAATGTTGTTTCCTCATCACAAACAGACCAACTGAAAACACTCTGTTCCACCTTGTGATGTCATGTGGCAATACAGGAAGTGCTTCACTGTGTTTTTAAACTCCACACACTTCACTTCACTAGAATCATGTTGATAATTTCAGCCCTGGAATAGCCAATCTCTACTGATCTAAAGGTAAAAGGAGCTGTTAACTTGAAATCCTCTGCTTCATGACATCACAAGGTGGAACAGAGCCTTTTGAGCTTTGGAGTTGTAGACGGACTAATAATAAAGTGTTACTCATACATGTGTGAATGAAACAAAACACAACTCCAGGTCTGTTTTTGAGGATGTAACAACAAGATTCTAACATGGCTTAAAGCTCACAAAAGTCAATTTGGCATAATATAGGACCTTTAAATAAATTATGCAATGAAAAGGATATATCGTATTTTTCGGACTATAAGGTGCACTTAAAGTCCATTAATTTTCTTAAAAATCGACAGTGCGCCTTAAAATCCGGTGCGCCTTATCTATTAATTCTGGTTGTGCCGATTTTATGTGGTTCACGGCGCTCAAAAATCTGTCAAAAAGTATTTAGTATGATTTTTGTAAGCTACGAAGCCGCATCGCTTGATGAATTGTCGGAGGATTACGACTATCGCAGTCAGGAGCCTCGCGGAGTAAACCCGGCAGAGAAGGAGTGAGCTGTTTTTTTTTCAGTGCTTATAATTTAGTGCAAATTAGCCATGTGGTTTTAAGTTCTATTTCGGTAAAACGTAAACAAATGTGCACAAAGCTGCATTAAACACATTATTACTCAATGTATATTTGAGTCGTCCTCGTAGAAAATAAAAAAACTAATTTAAATGATCCACCCACATTCACATTCATAATCCACATTCACCAAGACAGGGAGGCAACGCCGGGCGAGTTACACCACGGTCTGTCAATGGATCGTGGACACCTGAGCTAAAGGAACAGTCTCAAGTGTCGTCCAGTTTGTTTCTCTTAATGTGCCTTATAATCCAGTGCACCTTACGTATGAAAATAGACGAGAGAATTCATTGATATTGCTCCTTATGGTCCGAAAAATACGGTAACCTTGTCACTTGTCATACTATTCCACCTTACTGCTCCTGACTGTCACACTTTAAGAGCTGTGCATACCTCCAGGTCGAGCATCTTCTCCTCGGGGTGGTCTATGAGGTAGCGTGCCAGCGTGCCCGGCGTGGTGCGGTAGGTGAGGATGATGGAGTTGCGCGGGTTTTGGCACCACTGGATGAAGAGCTCTCTGGAGAAGCCGGACTCCAGGTCGGGCTGGCTGCACAGGACCACCTTGGGGCTGGGCACGCGGGCCAGGTCCGACAGGCTGTGGCACAGGGTCAGGTGCCGGAACTGGAAAGGGTTGTTCCTCTTGTCCTCGAAGCAGCGCATCAGTTTGTCGCTCATCCACTCCACCTGGACACAGAGAAAAAGACGGACGTAAAATGGAGGCTTTTATTACGAGCAAATGGTTTAGCTCCACATTTTGGACGTCATGATTAACTCATTTTTAGAATCAATCGCCTCTGGTTCCAGAAGTAAATTTCTCATAAATATTTCTCATAGACTTTCCAAAAAAGAAAATTCTATTAAAAGTTTGAAAGCTCAGGGCTAATCATTTCTGTGGTAACTAATGACCATAAGAACTTTAAAACTCTGAACCTTTAAAACTGTTAAGTTATCAAAACATTTTGCTGAATCTTGTGTTTTAAATGTGATTTGGGGAATTTTTCAAAAAGTCTGTGGGAAAAATGAAGGCAAAATTAACTTCTGAAACCAGAGATGGCTGTCACTGTTGAGCTCCACTGAAGGTGACTGAGAAAGAGTGAGAAACTGCAACAGAATCCATTTAGTAAATAATAAACAATAAAAATGTATAACGCTTTTTATGTCCCACGTAAAGAGAACAAAAGTAAATTTAAATGCATAAAAGATTAATTAATTAATCCTCCATAAGTGTGAACATTTTAGAGAACCTAAATCTTCACATTTAGCTTTAATTTTTAGAGTAAACTTTTCTAAGCAACCAGAGAAGTCTAAGAATCTGAATCTGATTTCATAAAGTTGGTAATATATTTGAAAGTGTAGATGAATTAAAAATAAAAAGGTTTCTTCTCACCATAAGTACAATAACACTCAAATTTGGAATTGTGACGTGCCTAGTTTTGGTCAGTAGAACCACCACTAACACAACTACTCACCTGCAATTTTAGAAGATTTTAGCCAATATATAAAGCAAATATTAACCATAAAAAGTTGTAGAGTGGACAGAAGTTAAGAAGAGAACACCTGCGTTACCTGCGACTTGGAGAACTCCACCACGTTGTAGCTGACGTTGTTGAGCAGAGCCAGAGGATAGACTCCCAGCCCCGCGTCCTTCGTCCTCCAGATCTGATCCAGCAGCTGAGCCAGCTCCAGCACCCTGCCCGCGGTGTCCACGGCCAGCAAGACGTTACCATCCCCGCGAAGGGTCTCCATCACATTAGCTACAAGGGAAAAACGTAATAAAAAATTCAGTAGTTAAAGGCCCTGTATCTGAGCAAAATATGTCCAGCCCAGTACAGATATATTGCATTAGCAGCTCTTGGGGGTCAAAATAAGTTTGCTGTGTTCTGTGTATATCCAATTATAAAGAATTTTAACGTCCAATAATCAGGAAGTGTACAGTTAGCATACTAGTTGTTGGCAGCTCTACCATGATAGTCAGTCACAGCTCTGGTCTGGCCTCTGAAAGTTGTAAAAAGCACTTTTAAACTCATCACGGTTAAGAATTAGGACGCTCTAAATGCATAAGGTAAGTGAGGTAACTCTTTGGACAATTGCAAACTGTTTAAAAATAATATGATTTTACATTTTTAAGTCAGTAAAAATCTGGTAATTCTATTGTTTTTCTAGCCAATGTTCAACCCAAAACGTACTTAGCATCCACTGGGTCTCATATCTAGGCAAGGCAACGCAAGTTTATTTGTATAGCACAATTTGTACACAAAGTAATTCAAAGTGCTTTACAGAATAAGAAACACATTAAAATCACAATACAAACAAATCAAAAACATAAATACTGTAATCATCATAACATTAACAAAGAGGGAGAGACAGCCTTTCAGTCGTATGCACAGCTGAAAAGAACTGTTTTGAGCCTGCATTTAAACAGAGTCAAAGTAGAGTCTGTCTCACGTGTTCAAGAAGATTGTTCCAGGTTTTAGCTGCGTGAATCTGAAACGCTGACTCCTCGTGTTTAGTCCTGACTCTGGGCACCAGGAGGAGTAAGCGAGATGGTTGATATGGCACTAACATGTCACAGATGTACTTTGGTGCTCGGCCATGGAGAGACTTGTACAAGCAGAGCCGCTTTAAAGTCTCTGAGCCACAGGAGTCAGTGCAAAGACCTGCCTATAACCTGGTAACACTTTCATTCTTTTAAAATAGTATCTAATTGCAGTACTTTTCAATAAATGCTATCAAATATTGTCATTTTTCAGCCCATAAGGATCCTGGTAATAGTAAAATAACTTACTGAGGAGCTGCTCGTCCCTCTGTTTACGTCGTGGCTGTACGTATGCGGCATTGAACGAGTCTGTGATGAGTAAAGAGGGACGACTGATGCTTTCCAGTGTGCAGCCGTTCAGGTGACTACAAACAAAAATACAAACCCAAACACAAGAATTAACATCAACAATAGAACTGTGAGTCTAAATATAGTTTGTTTGCGCTTACATTTCTCTTTTATGGTTGAAATCCACAGCGTAAACTATCTCCTCCTCTCCATCCTTGACTATTTTCCATATAGTGCCTCCGATCATGTGACCAGCGGGGAGCGGAGTTATGGACAGGCCGTGTCCCTTACCTGGCAAAACAAAAGGAAGGGTGGTAATGCTTTTAGGGACATGTTAAATAAACCATTGTGTCTTACTGTATCTCACCTTTTAGGTTAACAATCTGGGAGTATTTCAACTGCTGGATTTTATCGAAGGCACTGTCCACGTCGTCCAGGGTGAATAATGTAAAGTCCTCACAGTTGTTTCGAGACTAAGAGGAGTAAAAATACAAAATGTGAAAAAGGTTTTGACAAAACATAGAGCGCAGGATTGAACGTCAGAAAAATTTGTTGATGCAGTAGCCAAAAATAATATAAAAATGAACAAAAGAAAAGCGGAATAATCCAATTAACTGCTGAGTCACTACTGGTGAATCACACTGTACTGTCAGAATACTTTTGAATGAATGTTTGCGTCTTAAAATCTCCACTGGTTTAACTTTAGGGTAACTGATAATTCCCAGACTTGTGAAAGAAGGGGTGAAGGAAGTCTGGGAGTCCTTGCTTAGACTGCCGCCCCCACGACCCGGCCCCAGATCAGCGGTAGAAAATGGATGGATTCATAACTGACAATTCTATGAAGTTTGACGAGACTACCTTGAGGTCTATAAAGGAAGATTCACTGATGTTACAGATATAACAGATGAATTTGATTGAATTGTACTCTAATCTGCACTTAAAATGCCTTCAAGTGGGCACTAACCAAATAATATAGGTGAGATGGGTAAGAATAATTTGAATAAAAAAAAAAAATCACTTTACTATTGCTTCTGAAGATAATTAACAAGTTTTTCCTTTCACATGTATTCGTGACATGGAGCCTGCACTGTGATATCTGCTTACAGACCGTTAGGGGTGTGCAAAAATATTGAAATATCAATATATCGTATCGTATAATGTCATGATACGGTATTGATATCTTGGGCTGCTGTATAGATATATCACCAAGAGTATTTTTTGGTATATTTTACTAAATTATTTTGTTCCAGTGCTACAGTTTTGTTGTTTGTTTTGAGTAAGGAAACTTGTTTATGCAAAACATTTGACAAGATCACCGTCTAGATGATTAAAATGTTTGTGTTTTATATGAACTTTGCACAAGAAGTGGTTTAACAAAGACTTTTAGTACCACAGCCATGAATTAGCTATTTTTTTTTTTATTTGAAATAGGGGTGTAACAATATCCAAGTCTCACGATACGATATCATCACAGTATGAACTTCATGGTACGATATTTATTACAATATCTTGGGAAAGCTCACGATATGGTGGGGAGGTTTACGATTAGGGATGTAACAACATCCAAATTTCTCTGTGCGATATTTTCAAGATATACATCTCACGGTACGATATTTATTGCTTTATTTTTTGGACACGAAACAGCTAAAACTGTTAATATTTGACTTTTTCCTCTTAAAATGCCTTGACAAGACTTAACCCAAAGAACTAAGACTTAAAAGTGCTTAGAACTGTTTCTTCTTGTAGTCTGCACTGAAATGGAGCAAAGGATCATGGTCTATGTAGTTCCCTCTGTCTTTTTTTAGCTATTGTTGCAACATAACTCTTAATTTAAGCAAAGGGACTTGTAATTCGATATATTGTGATGGTCCACGATATTATTGAGAGAACTTTGACGATACGATATCACGATATTGAGGTTATTGTTACATCCCTAATTAGGAAATATACAGTATGTATCGACAACTTCTTAATGATACCCAGCCCTACAGCCTGTACCATGAGGGGTAAACTTACCTGATATAAATCATACATGAACATCTGTCCCATCTTGTAAACAGGAATAGTGGCGTAGATTGTACAGTTTAAGCCCAGTTTGCCCACAGCATAGGGCAGGGCGCCTAGGTGTATGGGGTCTGGGTGCGAGAGGAGCACTGCGTCCACCTGGTGAACATATCTGCACACAAAACAACATTAAAATTAGAGTAAATCATGGCTTGAGCGCAGAGTAAATATAGTCCATGTACCGTTTCATGGCGTCAATAATGTCCATGGAGAAGTTCTCGTCCCAGCCACAGTCCAGGAGGAAGCGGAACTCATCCACCTGCAGGAGGTAGCAGAGGGCAGACTCCTCCTGGACCCCGGAGACCGCCGTCAGCTTTATAATAGACGTCATGGTTCTCTGTTTTCACACTGAAATACAACACAACAAAGAGGAAAAAGTTAGAAACAGGAAGAGCCACACAAATGCAGGGAGATCTACCTACATGAGTAAATATACAGTTTAACTTGCCACTTGTTTGGATTTCTAATGTAAATTAATAACTCTACCTTCTTCAAGATTGACTACTGTTAATTTTAGTGAATTTGTAGACAAGTAAGATTCTTCATGACTCTATATGCGGCACGAAAGTTTTTACACGCCATGATTCTGTCTCATATAGAGGATTGCATAACCACACGGTCACTTGCTGCTGGCACAAAACTCAAACCCGTCGAATCAGTAAAAAAAAAAAAAAAGTTGTAAAAATACTGGACAAGAAACCACTGTCATTTCACCACTGTACTATTTCAGATAAGTACAACCTGCTTAATTTTAAATATGGATGTTTTATCTATAAAGTTTTGTATGGACTTTGCCCCTCCTCCGTTACAGGATTTTATTAAAACAAAGACGGTGTCAGTGGGATGGGAACTAGGTCCACAGCCTGGGGGAACTGTGAGCTCCCACACAGACGCACCACATTTGAACAAAGTGTGTTTTCAGTCAGAGGCATTAAATTTTGCAACAGTCTCCCACTATCAATAAGAGAAACTCCAACACTAGACACTTTCAAATCCCACTTGAAACAGCGGCTAAAGAAAAAACAGACTTGTGGACACTTTTAGTTTAGAACTGTCACTTGTTGTTGTCGTTTTTTTTTAATTTGTGGTGTCACATGCCTACAGATGACAGATGGAAATGAGCATTCTTGCTATAATCTGTCATATTTACACTGCAATTTTGTAGATGTACATTAATATGCACTGTCCCTATTAAATAAATAAATACATAAATAAATAAATATAAATGCGGCCTGTTTTTATTAAGTCTAATTAAATACTGCTCTAATAAGTCGAATGCATTTTTTTAAAAAACAAATTAACAAATAAAAATAGGATTACTCTATTCATATTTAAAAGTCTAATGTGTAAGATTTTGGTAGATGCAAAATTGGTTATTACAAGAACAATACAAATCTTACAAATGTTTTACCATTCAGTCCATTCATTCATTAACTGCAAATTATACATCCACGCGGATCAGGTACTGCTGAAAACCTACGTGTGCATCTAATTTTACATAACAGACCAAATGAATCTATTCAACATAAACGTAAACAAATAATTACAGTTAAAAAAAAACATTCAACAATTCCCCTGCAAAATAAGATTAGCATGTTAGCCAATAAGTAGCATTTCATTGTTTAAACTTCATCATGTCGAAATGAGTGCGTCACGTACCATTCAGTATAAGTCAAATTAAAAGTGCCACTTGGTGATAATGATTAGAATTAAGTAAATAAAAGAAATAACTGGATTTTAAGCATTTTTAGCGCTATTCTAGGCACACTTGACTAGCCGACATGATTACCGCTGCCAGTGTGAGAGGGCAGCGGGACGTACCAACTATACCGGGTGGAGTTAAAACAAAATACGTTCTTATAAAAAACAACTCATGATTTATCGTCAAAACTATTCGCTTGAAACATAATAAACACTCTCTAAATAACGTTTGAATCGTAATATTTAATCATATTTGCGGAATTAGGTGATATTTTAAAAGTAGTATGACCCAAATACCCCGCAATGTTTTGGTACAGTCCAGTGTCCTCTGCTGCTGAACGAGGAGCTGGAGGCCACGTCTTTTGCGTAAATATTGGGTAAAAATAAGGTATATTTTAAGTTTTAATCTATTCAGAGATAGCCATTTGTTACTATGCACTGCTCGTAATTATTAGCGTATGACCCAGAGAAAATCGGTATCGGTTTAAATAAAAATATGTGACAGATGCTAACTGACAAGCTAGCCTGATTAGCGTCACAAGCTCATGTAGTTTATATTGAATTGAAGAAAGCGTAAACATTATATATCAAACTAACAATTTGTAAAGCATTGAGCTAAATCATGATATAGAATTACCCACATTTTTTGCATTTACCTTAATTTTGTAGGTTGTTTTTCGGTTGTAGTAGCTGCAAGGATCAGAGATGGGTAGTACTCTGTTTAATTATAAATAAACATTTAATCAAGTTACGTTTCCTTAGTTACGTTTTCTTGAGTAATTTCTTTTAAAAATGTTCTTTCTTCAGAGTATTTTTCTAGCAGCATGCTCTTATTCCTATTTGACTAATATTGGCATTGAAGGTTTTGGTTCTACTCTGTACTTCTAATTGAGTAATATTATTTTGACTTTTGGATTTTTTTAATTTTTTTTTTACTTGAGTACAGTTTGTGGCTACTCTAAACACTTCTGGGCAGGATGCAATGTTATCCAAACCATGCAAACCATGTTATGTCTTGATCTAAAGTTGTTGAGTTGTGTTTTGTTTCATTCACACACATTTGAGTAATCCTGAATTATTAGTCTGTCCGTTCCACTTTGTGATGTTATCAAGTGGTAGTTTTCAAGTTAAGAGCTACCCTTTTATCTTTTGTTCATTAGAAACAGGGCTGAAATTTTGTAAAAGATTTTAATGAAGGTGTATGGAGCGTAAAAACATAGTGGAGCACTTCTTGTATTACATCACAAGGTCACAAAATGTTTTTGTTTGAGAGAATAACTCTGAATATGCAGGGTTTGTGCGTTAAACATGTGTGAATGAAACAAAACTCAACTTCAGGTCTGTTTGTGATGAAGAAACAACATTATAACAGATCAGAAAATGGCGTAATATGACTATGTTTTAATATTGTTTTTAATTATATTTTCCAGGAAAGATGGTGAACCTTGCAGCGCTCGCTAGGAATCACTGGGTGCATATCCTGGTGCCCATAGGCTTTGTGCTCGGCGTGTACCTGGACAGAAAACAAGACGAGAAGCTCACAGCCTTCAGGAACAAAAGTCTGCTCTTCGGGAGGTGAGGGCAAAAGGGGTTTGCGATGGGCATCTGACGCTTGGATGAGAACAATGATTGTACAATTTGCCATTCATTAAAAAAAAAAATTACAATAAAAATAAGAGAATTGCAGTAGCTCCATTTGCTGTCGGATGTTTTGATTTATTATCCTGCTATTGTGTCCTTGAGCAAGACATGTCATTCATACTGACTCTTAAAGGAACTGTATGCAAGATTTTGAATTTAAATTTAATTAAAGTTGGCCTAACTGTGTCCCCAGATATATAAACATATTCAAATATAGTGTTTATGGATAATAATTGTTATCCTCATTTTTTATTTACAAACATATAGGAAAGGTTGGGTTGTGTTGTGTTACCTTTTCTAAAGCTGAAATCCAGTTGGTTTAAACCTAAAATGCCTCTATCTGATCTGAACAGTCACTACCTAAATCCCAGTCTATATATGTTTAGAAAAAAACTTGTATTAGGTTTTGGCAAATGCAACCCATGTTCAGTTTATCTTGTAGTAACTTTTATTTAATAGTAAGAACAGAGGCTACAGGTAGTTCATAGTTAAAATGGTAGTGTGAATATGTGGTGGTATTGTCTTGAAAAGTAAGTTACCTAAACAATGACTACCACAGCGGAGTACAAGCCATAGACAAATGGACACAACTAACCCACTAGCCGCCACGTTCCCAATGGAAGTGAACATGGGCACACTTCCGGCTCCATCAGCTTGTAAAAAAATAATAGTCACCCCTCTCTCTGTAACTGCTGCAGTGAGCCTCCCCATTTTGATCTCAAAATGTTTGTACATACATGTGATTTTTCTGGATTTTTCCAGATTTTCAGACATAACAATACCACCCCTGTGAATCATGCAAATCATCTGTTTCTCTTTCTTCCTCTCTCTTTCTCTTTCAGATTGTTTTTATTAATTGTTTTCCAATGATGAAAATTCAGAGTTGCAACAAAATGTTTGCATATTAACATCTTTCATTAAAAGTGTCAAAATTAGGTCATTGTGGGTCTGTATATTTTCCTGTTTTTTTGTCTTTGGCCAATCACATCCATGTATTAACTCGCTCTACATGATCCTGGTGTTTTTATTTCGTTATTTTGTCTGTAAATCAGTTCCTACTATGGAACTGGCTCCAAATTCGCCCCTCTAACTATTGCTTCAGTGAAAGTTTTTTGTTTTTTTTAATACAATCTATGGTACAAGCAGAGCAGAATTAAACATCTTGAATAAAACTTGTATCTTTTTCTTTGCAGGGAACTGAAGCCTGGAGAGGAGGTGACATGGAAGTAGCCCAGACTCAGCCCCAGACTACAAATCTGAATATTTATATGTTGTAAAAATTTACAAATATGTTTAATTGTATCTACTAATAAAACATGATCTTTCACAATAAAACTCATAACTTGTCTGAAAATATTTATTGAAAAACATGCTGCAAACGTTGGTCATGAGTTGCATTTACTCAGTCACATTATTTGGTACTTTTAGGATGCTTTGACATTTGTCCTGGTTTGGGACCATTTTGAGTCCTAGTATAGATTAGGTTTGGTCATGTTCTAAGTCCTGGCTTAGTCCTGCTCTAGTCTTGGCCTAGTCTTGGTTTAGTTCTCGGTTTAGTCCCAAGTTTGCAGTAGTGACGTAGCTCTTAAGACTTACAGAGCTCATATGACACTGTTTTCTAATGTTATGTTTCCTCATCCAAAACAGATCTGGAGTTGTGTTTTGTTTCATTCACACGTTTAACACACAAATCCTGCATATTTAGGCTTAGTTCTCTCAAATGGAAAACACTGTTCCACCTTGTGATGACATGTGGTAATACAGAAAGTGCTCCACTGTGGTTTGAAACTCCATACACCTTCACTAGAATCATTTAGATAATTTCAACCCTGGACTTGCCAATCTCTGCTTAAATAAAGGTAAAAGGTATCTTGAAAACTACAACTTCATGACATCACAAGGTGGAACTGAGCATTTTAAGCTTTGGAGATGTAGACTGACTAATTATAAAGGCTTACGCAAATGTGTGAATGAAACAAAACAACTCCAGGTCTGTTTTTGATGAGGTAACAACATTATAACATGGCTTAAAGCTCACAAGAGTCAATTTTGTGCAAAGAATAATGTTGGTTACTCTTCCCACTAAAGTAAAATGTTATCCTGTAATTTTTTTTATTTGAAATGTTTCGGAATGCTCAAATTTCCATATAAGCTTGATACTTTTTGACTACTTGCAGTACTTTGAAACTTGAGTACATTTTAGATCTGACTGATAATTTAGCATATAACACAATGAAAGATTTAGAAAAAAGAGGGCAAGGCATCTGAATCAAACAGTTTATTTGTCAATTCCCTAGAAAGATGTCATTTACAGAGGTTGTTCAGTCTGGATGATCCCCTTCTCGAAAAGTGATTCAACCAAAGTCATCTATGGAGAGAAAAAATATATAAAAATTAAAAACAGAAGAAGGAAAAAATGTTGAAATAGAAATAATAATAATAATATGAACTGTACCCTGTCGTCTGCAGAGTCACACGGGACACTTCCAACAGTAACAAATTTAGGATATGAATGGATGAGAAATTCTATAGCATCTGTATTCTGGAATTAAAAAGGTTAAAAAAAAAGAAAGAAAAAAGTTCATTTACGTTTTGGTTGTTCACATCACATTTGTAGGAATGTATAATGTTACAAACCTCGACTTGTACTTCCAAACTTTTGATTTCCTCCTTGTGGTAAACTCTGGAGTTCTGTGTAGTGTAGTACAGGCTCACGACATCCCCATCGCTGCATAACCTGAGACACAATTTAATCGAAAATGTATAAAAATGAAAAGTCACAGTTCACATTTTATTCACAGGGGAAACCTTTGACAACTAGAAAAGCACTCAGAGAGCGCAGACCTCCGCCAAGGATTACAGTCCCCCTTATATTAATTGTGTTTTCCATAAATATTTGTCTTGTATCTTTCAATTTGGAATATGAAAGAGGATCCCATTGTCCATCCCTGAGTCAAATTTCATGGGGTTTGGTCAATAATTAACTGAGATATTGAGAAACAAAATTTTTGGCCCCATTTACCACAATGTTAGCTAAAATTTCAAAGTGATCCAGAATCCAGGATTTCTTCCGGATCACCCCCAAAATGAAATCTGTTCTTCCTTTTCACATTTCCAACAAATCCTGAAAATTTCATCAAAATCGGTCCATAACTTTTTGAGTTATGTTGCTAACAGACAAACAAACAAACAAACAAACGCCGGCAAAAACATAACCTCCTTGGCGGAGGTAATAAATGGATCCATTTCCGTTAACACAAGCTGCTAACAGTGAGAATACAGGTTTTTCAGAGTATTTCCTTAGCAATAAAACATTTCTGATAGACTACAATGCAGGATTTACATGTTTTAATGCCATACTGTGGAACATTCCAGGCAGGCAGGACAGTATGCCTTCATAAAAAAAATAAAAAATATTAAAAGGTGCATTGTGTAACTGTTCAGGTGGAGGGTCCATCAAATGCTTTTCTCTGTGAATATGTTATTGCTTTGTCTGTAATGTTTCACAGTAAGGCATTAAATTTTTCCACTTGCATGACAATTATTTTCCTTAATTACACATTCATTTCACAATTTTATTATTTCCAACCAACCCAAACCAGAGATGTCCCAGTTTTTTTGTTTTGTTTTTTTGTGTGAAAATGCGGTCACCCTAGATTTGCCGTAACAATCCATTAGCAGTCTACAAGTTTTAGACATCTGCCTCTTATTACAATTTCGAACTATTTACCCAGGACAGTCCCAGTTTTGAGCCTGTGTTCCCCGTCCAAGCAGATTTATCCAAAACCAGTGATTTGTCCCAGTTTTATACAAGAAACGTCCCAAGTGTCCCTATTTTTGACCAATCCAAGGCATAAATTGTAATTTCTTTAGGAAAAATACAAAAAAACCTTCTTAAAAATGTGACTATACCGACTCATATGTTAGTCATAAATGAGCCAAGTGCATAACAGTTTTCCTTAATTACTTGTGATGTAATGATATCCAAATTTCACGGCATAATATTATTACCAGTGACTTGTCCCAGATTTGTATAAGAAATGTCCCAAATGTCCCTATTTTTGTCCAATCTGAGCCATAAATTGTAATTTCTTTAGGTAAAATACAGAAAACCTGCTTAAAAATGACCAAAACATTAAAAAAAAGTGTCATAAATGGGCCGAGTGCATAACAACTTTCCTTAATTATTCGTGATGTAACAATATCCAAATTTCATGGTACGATATTTGAAGAGGCTGATATAATTGTAGACGGGACACTTTTTTGCTTTTAAAATACCTCGACAAGATTTTGGTGTGAATTATTTCCGTCATAATCCCAAGAATAAGTAAAAAACATAAGGAAAAAAACATATTTCTTCATGTTGTCTGTGCTGAAATGAATCATCCCCCAAACCAGGGATGTCCCAATTTTTATTTTTTTATTTTGAACATCTGGTCACCCTAAATTAGCCGCAAAAAAGCATTAGCAGTCTACAAGTTTTAAACATCTGCCGCTTATTACCATTTCAAACTGTTATATTCCACTGTATTTCTAAATAGCTTTGGGTTTATCTCATTTATATGCACAACATGCTTTTAATTACTTCCAACTAAGGCTCTGAATTGAAAGCAATCTAACGCAAGGACACGTCAACGCGCGCAGATGGAGCTAATTCTAATGTAGAGTCGCTAGCACAAACGGCGCAAGGACAAGCTAATCATACAAGAGTAGAGATGCTAGCTGAACGATTGGAAAAGTAAATAGTTTCACGTGAAGGGCACAGAGAGATAAAAGCTGTAGTAAAATGTTATGAGAAACAGCTCATGATAATGGTAATGGTATAAACACAAACTATCATTTTCAGGGGTATTGTTTGACCTTGGTTAATGTTCTAGGCTAATGGTTGTAGCGCTAACAGGCTAACGGTTTGTGGGCGTCCGTTAAGCCTGGTTTTACGAGGTGAACGTGAGGAGAAATGTAAATGTAAAATGGTGATTGGTTTATGTAAAGAAGGGTTACATGCGGCTATTTAGACATTGGCGTTGGAGTAGCAGCATAAACATTATTTTTCAAGCTTTTTTTTTTTTTTAAATTGTCAGAGTAGCGGGTCTGTACTATTTTGTCAAACATTCCGCTTTTCCGACATGAATAATATTAATGTTATAGCTTATTATACTTTGCGCTCCCATATATCATAAGATACTTGGGCCGGATCAGAAAATACTTTGGCCACAGTTACATGCTGACATTCCGACATACTTCGACATTGACGTCCAGTTGTTGGAGTGGCGGCACTTTAGCTTTATTTTTATTTTTTTCAACATTCTGCCATTCTGCCAAGTTGCAGCGGTGCTTTTTTCGGGACAATATTTTCATGGACTGGCAGCGTAGGAGATGCATTGCACGTGGCGTACGCAGGAAGACGTGGCGCACGGAAGGAGGCACAGCCCACACAGCTTGCGCAAGAAGATATGGTCCACGCGGCGTACGGGAGGAGGTGCGGTCCACGCGGCGTACGGGAGGAGGTGCGGTTCACGCGGCGTACGGGAGGAGGCGTGGTTCACGCGGCGTACGGGAGGAGGCGCGGTTCACGCGGCGTACGGGAGGAGACACGGTTTACTCAGTGTACGGGAGGAGGCGATGCTCCACACTATGAGTAGTTTGTCAGAATGGCGGTCTCAAAAAGTGTTGTAATGGGGGCATGTTGTAATGGAGGGTTGTTGGAATGATGGAATGTCGGGGTGGGGGTCTGTCGGAGTGGCGGTATGTCGGAATATGTGTTGTACCCCTTTGGCCACATAGGATATCAGACACAGTGGGAAAATGTCCTAACTGATCGCCATGGGAAACAGTCATGTATTTTATAAAAGAGCATAGGCCAGTCTTTGGGAAAATATCTAAAAGAGAGGCCCTTTGTGCTTCTTTCATTTCGTCATGTGGGCGATCTGTGGAGAACACCATATTGAAGACAGCGATACTAAAAAGTGTCGGAAAACTGGCATGTCTAAATAGGGACAAACGAAGCTCACCAAGACTAGCAGTTACACGAACGAATTTGGAGCTCGATATTAGGAATAGGAATGTGTTTACGGACAAAATAGCAAAATAAAAACACTAGGATCATGTAGAGTGGGTTAATACAAACATTTTAAGACCAAAATGATGAGGCACACAGCAGCAGTTACAAAGAAAAGCAGGACAACTTTTCTATGCAAAATCAAATGGAGCCGGAGTCAGTGGAGCCAGAAGTGCGCCCATGCTCACTTCCTATTTGAAACATGGCAAGCGGGTTGGCTGTGTCCATTTATATATACAGTCTATGGTCTGTTATGCCTGATGTTATGTGGTGGACATGAGGAGGAGAAATGCAAATGTGAAATGGTTTGTACCTGGCACAGCCGGCGCGGACCAGTCGGATTTTGGTTTGTGTGGTGATTGGTGACCCCACGTCCTTGGTCTGCCCGCGGTGCCACCTAGCCGGAGCTCCTTGGACGGTGCTGGACAATTCATCTGTGAAATGAAAGAGACAATAGTTGAAGAAAGTATGTGGTCAGTGCATTCGTTATTTTTTATGTTTTTCAAATGTATTCAACAAGGCATAACGCACTCACTTAATATGACTGATTGCAATTTAAAAAAGAAATCGATCAATTATTTATTAATAACATATTTTATCTAAAAAAGGTGCATTGTTCGTAGAAGATGCAGCATTATTTGACAGGTTTTCCTCATCTATAACCCATCCTTTTGACAGACAGCTCTGGCTCCTCCCTCTCCTCTTCTCCAGTTACTTGCATTTTATTTTTCTTACTTATTTATTTTTTCAGTTGTAGGTCCGTATTAATTTATATATGTAGTCCAACTATGAGAAACATGACTTGGAGACTAACCTAGACTTAAAAAAAAATAAATTAAATGATCAACTTATAAATTATGCTTTCATATGCATCAAAAGACCACAAATTCACAAAATCCCCAAATAGTTTTCATTGAAATCTGTAAGAAAATTAACTTGTTTAGTCTGATGTAGATATTGACAACAACTTCCAGCCTTACATGATATTTTATGGTATTAAAAAAAAAAGCTGAGTATTTTTCTTGCACATTTCTGTCCTCTTTTGGGTTAGTCCTTATTAAACGTGTGTGTACAAGTTTAGAGCTGGAATAGTCCTGTTTAAGACCTGGTTTAGATTGTGTGGTACTTGTGGAATATTTTCTTAGCTGGAAATTGTTGTGAAAAGTTTGAGGACCACTGTCTTAGTATTATTTATTTTGGTGAATCCAGCAGTTTCTCTGTCATACCTGGTGTGAGTTTGGGAGGCAGGCAGTCGTGGATGAAATCTCTCGCCTTCAGATCCACAGCACCGTCTACAGGAGCGTACTGGGCCAACTTGTGTATCAACGCTTCAACGCGGGAGAGGAATTTCCCCCTGCGTGGATCATCCTGGACAGGGAAAACCATGGTTAACTGTATTAAGTCAGTAGGTAGTTTTAACATTCTACAATTTCATGTCAAGACAGAGGGCCAAAATGATTCTGTGTGAGAGGCATGATTTAGAAAAAAAAAAAAAAAAAAAAAAGTATAGTGTAGTGAATTTGGATATTTGTTAAGAAAATACTGACCATTTGATTCCATTGTATTTTGCCATGAAATATTGGAAAGGTAAAATCCCAAATATGGAACCTGATCATTTCGATTCTGGACTAGACCCAAAACCACATTCTATTACAACAACTTATCGACATACAGGCTTCTTCAAACATTACTATAGATGTATTGTATATGTATATGTATTGTATATATATTATATATATGTAAATGTTTTGTGTTTGACTCATGACATTTGTCTTGATGGTCATGTTGTTGTTGATAAATTGTATTTTAGAAGATAATAATCCTGATGAATTTAGTAAATGTACATTTTAGAGGATTTTGATGACAATGAATTTGATTACAGGGTATCCCCAGGTTTGACTACACCAAATTTAAAATTTTTTAAGATCACTTAAATGAAAATGAAGACCAACATCACACCCATTACGCAGGCGAAAAACATCAGATCCAATTCTAATAATGAACAACCAACTACGGTACTTTATCTAGAATCTAAGAGTCACTGTGGAATAAACCTACACTTCCTCATGATCCATCCAATGTCTTCCTCCACTCTACTGATTGTTTACTCATTGCCGCCGGCTCCAGGAACCAAAGTATTGTTTGTGCATACTCCAAATTAGATGTTCATTCACGTTACGTGATTTCACGTTGTTGTTTTTTTTTCCTCCCTCCATTTAATATTGCACTGCAGCCCGGTTGAGTTTACAAAAAATAGGCTAATGAAATTTAAGACCTTTTTAAGACTTTTAAGACCCCACGGCTACCCCTGGAGTATTTTTAGAAAATAACGATGAATTTCAAATCTTGTATTTATGGAAATTAGAATGAATTAATGTGGCTTGTTTTAAATGTTTAATGAACTGGATTGTGGTTATGATAAGGAGACACTGTTACTGATGAAATGTTGTTGGTCTAATTTAAAGAGTTTCTATAATGTATTTTGCACCTGTTTGAGGTCTGCAGATGGAAAGAAGCTTGTAGTTTAATCTGGCACAGAGCATCTTTCCTCTCTGAGATTAATGTTTTCTGTGCACTGTCCTTGTTTTAAATAAATAAATAAAAAAATAACAACAAAAATCTGCAACTGAGCAATATTAACATTAGCTGCCCTCTGTCTGTATTAAATAATATTGGCCTATAGAATTCTGTGACGTCTGTACATCTGTAATCCAGCAACACTTGATCGATCTGAAAACACGGCGGCACATTGACGAAGACGAAAATGACCAAATGAATGAACAAAATTGTAAAGACGTGAATATTTACTTTGTCTGAATTCTGCACCCCCATGTAGGTGAGGTAGTCGAGCGGTAAGCCCTGCCTGTACTCCACGTCCTCGTCTATGGCCAACTCCAAAGCAGCCGGCACCATCTGAAACACGAGAGGATTTTCACATATTACTTGTACTAACAATCAGCGGTGGATGAAGTACGATATTGGACCCATATACTGAATATGTTAAATTTGCCGTGAGTACCTTGAGCAGCAGGTCTCCCCAGCTGTTCTTCTGGTAGGAGGAGATGGTGATGTGCATGGAGTGAGCGTCAGGCAGACAGTCCCCCTGGTGGATGAAGCCTCGGGGGAAGTAGAGCAGGTCTCCAGCCTCCAGAACCACCTCCAGGATGGGCTCTCCGATCTCACTCTGAGCAAAGTTAGCTGGAGCAGGGACGTGAGGAACAGAAGGTGGAAAATTAATCAAGTTGCAGATTTTCAAAAGGACTGTAAACCTTTTCATGTAAAAACGTAACATTTGTACTGAATCCATGTGTCATTCGTTCATTCGTTTTTCAATATAAAACCAAAAACAAGAAAACGAAAAAACAACAATTTCCTTCGTTATTTGTCTAAAAAAAAAAAAAAAATGAAAAAACAGATAACGATTCATTTTTTCAGTTTTCGATTTTGTGTTTAAATGAATAATGGAAAAAAACGGATAACAGACGTTTCCCGTTTCTGTGACTTAAACTGTGATACCAGACTTTTGCACCACATACGGACTGAACCAGGACTAAAACAGGTCCAAAACAGGACTAAACCAGGACTAAACCGTTTTCAGTCCTGGTCTGGTCCCGGTCTGGTTCCAGTCTAGTCCCGGACCTGTTTTAGTCCTGGTTCAGTCCTGGTTCAGTCCAGCATCGCAGTTTAAGTAAAATAAATGGGAAACGAATTATTATCTGCTTTTTCATTTTGGTTTTGGAGACAAATAATGAAGAAAATAGTTGTTTTTTCATTTTCTTATTTTTGGTTTTATTTTGAAAAACAAATGAACGAATAATACACGGATTGTATTGCCCCAGTACAGATCTATTGTGCTTTTGTTTGCTATTTAGTTATAATTTATGACACTCTGGATTTATTTTGGACATTTGAAAATTGCAATATTGATCTAAAATGAAATAAGTCAGCTGATTTCCGGTTGCAAACTGCAGAGCTGATCCCCCCCGTCCTTTCGTGGTACATCGCCGTAAACATCATCCCAACAAAACTCAGGATATCTCAGACATGCAAGAATCCCTCTAAATCAGGGGTGTCCAAACTTTTTTCATCAAGGGCCACTTGTCTAAACACAGATGAAGCAGAGGGCTGATCGAGGGCTGTAGACTGATGCTCAATACAGGGAATAATTGAAATATGTGCATGTTTAAGACGTTAGAATGAACCATCAGACTTTATTCACATTAAGATCCTTAAAACCACAGACTAAATATTAAATATTCGCTTTATCAAGGTAGATTTTCCAAAAACTTGCAGTAAAAAAATATTTTTTAATTGATGCAAGGTAATTTGGGCCAATTCACCTGGACGTCTGAGGGCCAAGAAAAATGTGTCTGAGGGCCGCATTTGGCCCCCGGGCCGCAGTTTGGACATGCCTGCTCTAAATGAAAGCTTGAGTGTAAATATGAGGGGACACAATATAACATGTGATTCAATGAAAGCTACAGGGATCTGAAAACTACTTACGACTTGAAACCACTGGTAACACCTCGTCTTCTGATCTGAAATGGAAAGGGAATAAACAGTTCAAACTATTTGAAGTGCTGAACTAAGGACACAACAACAACATCATACACTCGTGGGAATCAAACGGCTGACAATTGAAAAAAGTATTTTTAACTTACCTTGGACTGTACACTCTCCAGTGCTTCTTCCCCTCCAGCTGAATGATGAAGGCCTCAATGTCATCGTAATGTGGAGCGAATCCCTGTGTGCCCGGAGGAGTCAGGTATCTGGACACCGGATAAGGACACATTAGAACAGACAGCTCTAAACCAAAATGGGAAAGATTCAGTACATATAATAGTACCAAGTAATTATCCAGTGATGGGAGAATAGTCTTTTTAGTTACAGAACACTGAAGACTTGTATTAAAATGTATTTTTTAAAGAGTTCTGTATTCTCAATACTTTGATTACACTCATTATGTTGCTTTGTATTACAGTGTTATGTGACAGAGAAATGAAACAAACACTAGAGATGTAATAATAACCGAAATATTGTGAAATCGTATTGTCAAAAGTCTCACAATAATATCGTGGACTATCAGAATATATCGATAATCACAAGTTCCTTTGCTTAAACGCATGCTTTTCTAGTAGCAACAGCTTATAAACATCGGGAACTACATATCCCATGATTCATTTCAGCGCAGACAACACGAAGAGATATGTTTTTTATGTGAATTCTTGGGATTATGACGGTAATAATTCACACCAAAATCTTGTCATGGTATTTCAAAAGCAAAAAAAGTGTCCTATCTAAAATTATATCAGCCTCTTCAAAATATCGCAATAATCGCACCATGAGATCAGAATAGGGCTGGGTATCATTAAGAAGTTACCAATACTGTACATATCTCAATACAAAGGCCATGATACGATGCGCTTTTCGATACAGTGAGCTTTCGATTCAATACGATTCGATACGGTTCAGTGTAAAAAAGGCTAAATGACGGCTCTAATACTAAAAGTTCACTAAGTCTGTGAAAAGTGAACGAAAAACACCCATTTTACTCAAAACCGTGAAAATGTCAACACAACTGTAGCTCTTACAGAAATACTTTTGTAAAACTATACTTAAAATACTCTTGACGATATATCAATATTTTGATATTTTTGCACACCCCTAGATTTGGACTTGTTGTGCATTTATTGATCACTAATTGGAGGATAAACTGCACACACACTCACCATAATAATGACGTTTTTTCCTTTTCTTTTTTCTTAAGTTTTCTTTCTTTCTAATGCCATATGCTGTAACTTTGACCCATTAAGTATTCCTTGATTTTAGAAAAGTGACTGTATTCTAAATGCCAACAAATTAAAGAGTAACTAGAATACTCAAAATTTGTATTCTGTATATGTATTTAGTTACTTCTCAAAACTGTATATGGAGTAAATAAACAAGTGCGTACACGTTGGCTCCGGCCATGCTGCCAAAGTGCTCCTGCAGGATGGACAGGACGCTCCAGACGGAGGAGGAGAAGGCCTGGGGGTTGAGCATGCGCAGGGAGCAGCCACTCTGAGGACGACAGGGAAAACAGGGCATCGTTACGACTCGCTCAAACGGGCGGAATGAATGAGGGAAAAGGCTCTTAAAAGGCGCATTACGTAACTTTTCTGCTCGTTTCGTGGGAGACGCAGTATAATAGCTTTTCCTGAAATGTTGCACAGTATGGCATTAAGCGTATCCATCTTCCTTTTATCTGATTACAAGTGTTTTTATTCTTCAGAAATCGTTTTAAAACATGAATTATTACTGTGAGTTGGGACACCTCTCCACAGATCTGACCTGTAACTTAGTGCTGTGGCATCCAGTGCTTGTTTCAGTGAAGACAGATAAGTTTAATGCTATAGTGTGGAACATTTCAGGAAGCTTAATACGGCACTGTGAGACATTCGAGGCAAAGCAATAACATCGTCATGGTAACCAGAGCACCTTTTATTTAGTTTGCTTTGGTTTTTGTGTTGTTTATTTTTTTATTTCAGTAATATTTACTGTAGTTTTTTTTACATAATCTAACCCAAGATAAATTATAAAACGATGTCTAAACATGGTCTCTCTCAGAAATATTATTTGACAACAGTCTTTTTTAATTTTTACTTATTTTAAAGGGGATGTAACAATAATCGAAATATCATGATATCGTATCGTCAAAGTTCTCACAATATATCGAATTACAAGTCTCTTTGCGTAAATTAAGAGTTATGGTACAGCAATAGCTAAAAAAAAAAAAAAAAAAAGAGAGACAGAGGGAACTACATAGACCATGATCCTTTGCTCCATTTCAGAGCAGACTACAAGAAGAAATAACAGTTCTAAGCACTTTTAAGACTTTGTTCTTTGGATTAAGTCTTGTCAAGGCATTTTAAAAGGAAAAAGAAGTTTTATTCAAATACTGTAAGAGATTTGGATATTGTTACATCCCTAATCGTGAGCCTTTCCACGTGAGTTTTCCCACGATATCGCAATAAATATCGTACCGCGAGGTTCATACCGTGACAATATTGTATCGTGAGACTTGGATATCGTTACACTCCTACTTATTTTTGCATTTGTTATTACCATTTACACGTTTATTCTTTGTTATTATAATATATTGTGATGTATGAGCTACTGCATCCAGGTTATTTCCCTTGTGGATTAATAAAGTTTGTCTGAAAACTAAACTAAACAGACTTAAACTGGACAACAACACGAAGAAAAGACATGAACTCCAACTCACTCCTCACTGTCCTCCTCCAAAACAAGTTATATAACATTATGAATATCACAGTTTTCTAAAGATAGTCCAGAGGCTTTAATCAGGCCCACAGAGGAAAACATGCAAACATGGGTCTAATAATACACACGGTTACAGCAGAATCGTTTTTAACTCACCTCATAGAAGTCCCACACGGTGTAGGGCAGGGCTCTCCCGGGGGGGTTATGGGTCTCCCGTTTACCATCTGTGTAGCTGGTCACGTCCAGGTTCACTCCATACTGAACGTCCTCCTAAAATTACAATACAATACTGTTAAAGGTCCTGTATTACACAAATTTGAGTCTTGTGAGCTTTAAGTTATGTTATAATGCAGTTACCTCTTCAAAAACAGACCTGAAGTTTTGTTTCGTTCACACAAGCTTGAGTAACCCTTTATTATTAATCTGTCTATATTTCCAAAGCTCAAAATGCCCTGTTCCACCTTGTGATGTCATGTAGTGGTAGTTTTCAAGTTAACAGTTCCTTTTGCCTTTTGTTCAGTAGATATTGGAAATTCCAGGGCAGAAATTATCCAAGTGAAGTGAAGTGAAGGTGTATGGAGTATAAAAACACTTTCTGGATTAGTGAGCGTTTTCTGTTTGAGAGAAGAACTAGGTTTGTGTGTTGAACATGTGTGAATGAAAAAAACTAAACTCTAGGTATGTTTTTGATGAAGAAACAACATTATAACAGATCATAAAATAGCGTAATATGGGCAATCTGTTCTCTGTTGGTGACAGTAACTCTGACAGAATTGGGAAAACTGAGAAAATGGCCCGATTTTCTTCATCGAGATGTCACTGTATTCTTTCTTTTTGCCTTTTTTAAAAATTGTCTATTTGTGTATTGTTATGTCATTGTTATGTATCATAATTTGCCTAATTTAATTAAAATAAAAAGATGTTCAGCAGATCAACAGCTGACAGACCGGCTGACTCTAACAGACATTGAAGACTGCTGCTGAAATCCACGGTTTTATCACATGCCCGGTGTCAGTAATCACACCAGAAGTCGTCATCCACATGTTTCTTCTGGTAATCGTGAATAGAGCCTACTAACTAGTTCTGCTAACCTAAGAGTGTGAGTGTTTACGTACTTCTCTCAGTATTCGGTCAAACTCTGCCGTGGAGAACAGGCCCTTGTAGTAGTTTGGGTTTTTACGTTGGACAATGATCGGCTTCTTCTCCCACGTTTCCCTGTAAGAAAAATATGGAATTTTTGTGTATAAATAAAACTTATATTATGTTGTTATGTTTATTATTCATAAATCAACCAAAAGTACATTTGTATTTTATTTTGGTGACAATTAGGACTGGGTATCATTAAGAAGTTGACAATACAATCGAGCTTTCGATTTGATATGACATATTTCAGAACAATTTGATATGGTTCAGTACAAAATAAAGGCTAAATCATGGCTGTGATACTAAAAGTCTTTTTTAAACCACTTAAACCATTGCAAAGTGAATATGAAACATGCCATTTTAATCATCAAAACAGTGAAATGCCAAATGTGTTACATAAATGAGCTTGATTGCTCTGAACAAGAACAAAACTGTAGCACGGTGACAAAATAATTTAGCAAAATATACCAAAAGTACTCTTGGCGATATATCGATACAGCCGCCCACGATATCGATACTGTATCATCACATTAAACGATACTTTACATCAATATTTCACACCCCTAGTGACAATAAATGCTTGTCCTTCCTTATTAAAAAAAAATATGTTCTGTTATGTTTTTCTAAATCAAAAGTCTCAATAACTAAAACTAAAAAACCTTTAAAAAGTATTGTTTTGTTGTAACGCCAGGATGAAAATGTAATAACTGAGGTTTGGGCTTTTTACAGGCTAACAAGTTAATAAATAATGAGTTAATAAAAACGTAACACATGAGAATAACGCAGGATTTGAAAATTCTTATGGCAATGAAAGCACAGAAGCAGGAGCCAAAGTGTTTACGTAATGATGTCAATTTTGCTTCCAGGTAAAAAAAAAAAAGGAAAAAAAAGGAGAACCTCAACTCAAGTATTGCGAATTCCCCAGATTGGGACAAATATGCCTGCTTCATGTAACGCAAAAATTAAAAACAAGACATTTTTAAGCATTTTGACAGGTGCTGAAATCTCGATGTGTGATCACATTCCTCAAAAAACTCGTACAAGAAGTCTTAAAATCCACAAGAAAGTGAAAGGTGAAGTACCTGAAGAAGGCTTTGGCTGGTATGGGGTTGATGAGCCATTGGAATAACCTGCTGGCTCTGTCTCTGCTGTTGTTCACTCCTGATAACTCCTTCAATAAAGTGTCCAAGCACTCCTCACCGCCCACAAACGGCTCCCCCTGCAGGCAAACCGGCAAAGAGGGCAGAAGTCACATTGCAGTAACTTGAAAACAGCAAACACAAACAAACAAAACCAGGGCTGCTGAATTACAGTTGAAAAACATAATTATAAATACTTGGGTCATAATAGAAAGAAGTTTCAATATTGACAAAAAACTAATATCTCACAATTTTTGGGGGTGTCCTGACAATATTTTTTTGACAATTAAACAGAAAAGTTAAAGGTACATTGTGTAACTTTTCTAGTGGAGGGCCTTCATATTTCAGTTTCAGATGCTGGTAGCAAAAATTTAAATAACAATTAAAATTGTTGCAGAGCTCTAAATCAAGCAAACAACAATAAACAACAATATAAATATCCTAAAATTAATCATTTGTCTGGTGAAAGAAGTAGGGATGTAACAATAACCGAAACATTGTGATATTGTATCATCAGAAGTCTCACAATAATATTAATAATATATCGAATTACAAGTTCCTTTGCTTAAATGCGTTGTTCTTTAGGCGGGAACAGCTAATAAACATAAGATTCATTTCATGAAATAGAAATATGCTTTTTACTTGAATTTTTGGGATTTGGACAGTAATAATTCACAACAAAATCTTGTCAAGGTATTTTAAAAGCAAAACCGTGTCCTACCTACTCCAAAATATCGCAATAAATATTGTACCGGGAGATGCATATCGTGATAATATCGTACCGAGACATTTCGATATCATTACATTTCTAGAAAGAAGTCTATTTTTTTCTGTGAATGCTTCTAAAATATAATATTGGTGGATAAATCTCAGTCTATATAACAAGTTTATTTAATTCCAAAATTAAAAAAGCTATAACATTTGAGTAAAAATATATTAAAAAGATTCGTACCTCTGACGTGTGCTCAGGTTTCGTTGGAGACTTTACATCTGTATTTTGTATTTTTCTCTTTTTTGCAATCTGCTTCATTTGGGTATTATTATTATTATTATTTTGCACAATCCCGTTTGACTTTTTCTTTTTCTTCTTTGCAGACACCTTTAGGGAGCACACAAAATCAATATATTAGCGTCAACAGGTAAAATGTGGACTATTTCAGGAAGCACATGCACGATTTGGGTCAAAGTTTGTTCCAGTGTGACATTTCGCAGATTAAAAATGATTTATTGTGATTTCGTGTATGAATTACCTGCAGAGAGGGCTTCTTAGCAGGAGGAGGCTGGTTTACAGACAGAGTTTTGTACAGAGCTAAAGCTGACATGTGTTTTCTCTCCATTTTGCCCTGGCACTGTTGTTGTTCACGTCATCAAGCTGCGACAGAAATGCGCTTAGGACAACAGCGCCCCCACGTGGACAACAAGAACTTTAACCCTTTTATGGCCAGTGAAATATCTGTGAACTATCTCTCCTTATTTTTATGTCATCACTATATATTTGCTTAATTATATATGAACTGCATCCTATGTGTTCTTGTTAAGTGTTTTTTTAAATTTATTTACTATTATTTATGTATTATGTATGCCTGCATGTATTTATTATTATTATTATTATTATTATTATTATTATTATTATTATTATTATTATTATTATTATTATTATTATTATTATTCTTTACTTCACCCTGTCAGTGGTATTATAACGTTGATGTATTTTTGTTATTTTTTTGTACGCTTTGTACTAATAGAGCTGTGACCTTAAATATATTATTACTTATCGCTGTATTTTATTTTGACTTGTACATTTACATTTATATAATTATGTCTTATTTGACACTTGTCTGTTGCTACTTATTTAGAATTTATTATTACCATTTATATTTTTGGTTTATGTTATTATATTTGGACACAGTGATGTGTGAGCTGCTGTGTCCAAATATTTTCCGTTGTGGATCAATACATTTTGTCTAAGTCTAAGTCTAATAAAACGTATTACATTTATTGATTTGATTGGAAACTGGAACCATATATTGAATTCATATGTGGTAGAAAAAGAAAAAAAAGACAATGGCTGTGGGTATATAGCCAAATCTACTGATGAGAATTATACAATGCAAAAAAAAAAAGAAAGAAAGAAAGTAAGAAAAAACTCATCATAGTTTATGAACTTTGAACAAAGACCAGTGTGTGTCTAAAAAGACACTTGACCCAGCTTGTCTCTGTGTGTGTGAGAGTGATGGTTGTGGGGTCAGTGCTGTTGTCGTTTGGCATCCTTCCTTCCAGCTATTTCTCCCAGGACAGAAATAATGTGTCCATTTATTGGCGAGACTATTTTGGAAAGCTTTTTTCTTGGTTTTGGGTGAGAAATTTAGCACTTTGTTTCACCTCCTACAAAAATGGTACATCAACATTTTCCAATTTACAAAACTAGTTATTTAAACTATAAGGGTGTAACGATATATCCAAGCCTCACAATACGATATCGTCACAGTACGAACCTCACAGTACGATATTTATTGCGATATTGCGTGGGAAAGCTCAGGGATGTAACAATATCCAAATCTCTCTGTACAATATTTTCACGATATATACATCTCACGGTACGATATTTATTATGATATTTTGGAGAGGCTAAACAGCTTAAACTGTTAATATGCTGCTTTTTCCTCTTAAAATGCCTTGACAAGACGTAATCCAAAGAACTAAGACTTAAAGGTGTTAAAACTGTTATTTCTTCTTGTAGTTTGCCCTGAAATGGAGCAAAGGATCATGGTCTATGTAGTTCCCTCTGTCTTTTTTTTTTTTTTTACAATTGCGGCACCATAACTCTTAATTTACGCAAAGAGACTTGTAATTCGATATATTGTGAGAACTCTGACGATACGATATCACGATATTTCAGTTGTTACATCCCTAAAAATAAATTAAAAAAAATAACACAAGACTGGTGTTAGATAATAGTTCTTAGTGACACCATGTTTAGACATCGTTTTATAATTTATCTCCGTTTAGATTATGTTAAAAAATGATGAAACGATGAAATGAAATGAATGGAGGGGAACAAAACTTCCTCTTAAAATGCCTCGACAAGACTTAATCCAAAGAACTAAGACTTAAAAGTGTTTAGAACTGTTATTTCTTCTTGTAGTCTGCACTGAAATGGAGCAAAGGATCATGGTCTATGTAGTTCCCTCTGTTTTTTTTTAGCTATTGCTGCACCGTAACTCGTAATTTAAGCAAATACACTTGTAATTCGAAAAATTGTGATGGTCCATGATATTATTGTGAGAACTTTGATGATACAGTATCATGATATTTCGGTTATTGTTACATCCCTACTATTTACACCTCGTTTTGTCTGTTTTCATATTTCAGGACTATTTTCCACCTAAAGGAAATCATGTTAAAGTTAAATCATCATACACAAGTTATTTTCCATTTTATCTGTCCACTCCTGAGTAAAAGTGGTCAAATGTCAGTGTTGGGAAGGTTACTTTTAAAATGTATTCCCCTACAGATTACAGATTACATACCCCAAAATGTACTTTGTAACATAATCCATTAAATTATTTAAAGTGAGTAACGAAATCTGAATACTTTGGATTACTTGATATTGTCTGATGCTTTTTAAAACTACATGAATGTAACAACCACATCCTGAAATTCTTGTTTGTTCTCTTCAAATTGTCTGTTGAGCCCAAGTCTCCATGAACAGATAATTGTTTGCTGTAGAGAAGCAAAGACGAAGATGTTTTATCTGCTAAAAGACACAAAAAGCCCAATCTTTCCTTAACCAAATAAAAAATATTATTGATAGAGAATTGATTTCTATGAGATCACTGCTGCCTTAAATTATGTCCACCTACTGTTAGTGTCATATTCTTTAGACCTGGTTTAGTCCTGGTTTAGACCTGGTTTAGTCCTGGTTTAGTCCTGGTTTAGTCCTGGTTAGTCCTGGTTTAGTCCTGGTTTAGTCCTGGTTTAGACCTGGTTTAGTTCTACTTTAGACCTGGTTTAGTCCTGGTTTAGACCTGGTTTAGACCTGGTTTAGTCCTGGTTTAAGTCCTGGTTTAGTCCTGGTTTTAGTCCTGGTTTAGTCCTGGTTTAGACCTGGTTTAGTCCTACTTTAGACCTGGTTTAGTCCTGGTTTAGACCTGGTTTAGACCTGGTTTAGTCCTGGTTTAAGTCCTGGTTAGTCCTGGTTTTAGTCCTGGTTTAGTCCTGGTTTAGTCCTGGTTTAGACCTGGTTTAGTCCTACTTTAGACCTGGTTTAGTCCTGGTTTAAGTCCTGGTTAGTCCTGGTTTAGACCTGGTTTAGACCTGGTTTAGTCCTACTTTAGACCTGGTTTAGTCCTGGTTTAAGTCCTGGTTAGTCCTGGTTTAGTCCTGGTTTAGTCCTGGTTTAGACCTGGTTTAGTTCTACTTTAGACCTGGTTTAGTCCTGGTTTAGACCTGGTTTAGTCCTGGTTTAAGTCCTGGTTAGTCCTGGTTTTAGTCCTGGTTTAGTCCTGGTTTAGACCTGGTTTAGTCCTGGTTTAGACCTGTTTTAGACCTGTTTAGACCTGGTTTAGTCCTGGTTTAGACCTGGTTTAGACCTGGTTTAGTCCTGGTTTAGTCCTGGTTTAGTCCTGGTTTAGACCTGGTTTAGTCCTACTTTAGACCTGGTTTAAGTCCTGGTTAGTCCTGGTTTTAGTCTGGTTTAGTCCTGGTTTAGACCTGGTTTAGTCCTTTAGTTGTTTAGACCTGTTTAGACTGGTTTAGTCTGGTTTACCTGGTTTAGACCTTTTAGTCCTACTTTAGTTTTAGTCCTGGTTTAGACCTGGTTTAGACCTGGTTTAGTCCTACTTTAGACCTGGTTTAGTCCTGGTTTAGACCTGGTTTAGACCTGGTTTAAGTCCTGGTTTAAGTCCTGGTTAGTCCTGGTTTTAGTCCTGGTTTAGTCCTGGTTTAGTCCTACCTACTTTAGACCTGGTTTAGTCCTGGTTTAGACCTGATTTAGACCTAGTTTAGACCTGGTTTAGACCTGATTTAGACCTAGTTCAGTCCTGGTTTAGCCCAAAATGTGATTAACCCCCTCATTATCCCCTTTAAAAGTTGATATTACGTTTCATATTACACCACGCATTTTCCACCACCAGATGTCGCCACTACACCACTTTCCACTCCCCCCCGCCGCCGCTCTCCTCCTCTTCTTTTCCCACAATGCCTTGCAGCGTGCAGTCGGTGCTGTTTGTCCGCGTCCTGCCGTCTCTCCAACAATGCAGTTTTTAATGGACCCGTGAGCGCAACTGGCTCCGAACGCCGCGCCACCTCGGGCTCACCGGGGCTCTAACCCTGCTCCCCCTCACCCCCGGAGAATCTGCACCTCTGCTCGGTCTCGACACACCCGCCGCGCGCTCCCTGGACTCGGATTTAAGCCCCGGTGCCCCTCTCTCCCCCGGGTAAGTAGCACGTAGCGCTAACCCCCGGATCGGTGGTGCGCCAGCGGAGTAGAAGTGCGTTTTGTTGTGACCATCGTGGGCTAGCCGCGGTGCTAATTGGCCAGATGAGACGTATGGTCCCCGTCGGTCTTTATCCCGGGTACAATGGCCCCCGTTATGCGCTCGCCAGCCTCGGTACGGTGGCGTGATCGCGTTCGTTCCATGCATTTTTACGCGCAGTGGGTTGGATTGTGCACAGGACCTGGAGTAGTTGGATTTGGTGCGCCGTGCTTGTGCTTGGAGTATGCAAAGAGGCACACGTCAACATAAGCCGGTGGAGTTTGTGGAGTGCAAAAGGTGCTCATCAGTTTACGTTAAAATATATTAAAGCTTTTCACCCCCAACTACACTTTTTTTTTTTTTTTTTTTTTTTTTTGTGAAGAACATCCCGAAACAACAAGTCATTTTTTCTGGACATGCATTATTACGAACATTTTTTGGAAAGACTGCTTAAAATTGATTAAAAAAAATCACATTGACCCAAGCTTTTCATTAAAATACGAGCTTATTATATTTGTATACACACAAAAAAAAAAACGGCATTTAACTTTGGCAAATTTTCTATTCGTAAATAAGGTGTGCAAAAAAATTTAAATATCGATATATCGTGTCGTTTAATGTGATGATACAGTATCGATATCGTGGGATGCTCTATCTATATATTACCAAGACAATTTTATTTTTTTTTTTTGCGTATTTTACTAAATTATTTAGTTGCAGCGCTACAGTTTTGTGGTTAGAGGAAGGAAACTCGTTGATATTTTCACTGTTTTGATGATTAAAATGTTTGTGTTTCATATGAACTTGCGATTAACTTAATTATTATATTTGGCAAATTTTATATTCGTAAATGGGGTGTGCAGAAATATTGAAATATCGATATATCGTGTCGTTTAATGTGATGATACAGTATCGATATCGTTTACACGCAAAAAATGGTGATTAACTTAATTATTATATTTGGCAAATGTTATATTCGTAAATGGGGTGTGCAAAAATACTGAAATATCGATATATCGTGTCGTTTAATGTGATGATACAGTATCGATATCGTGGGATGCTCTGACGATATATTGCCAAGAGTTTGGGGGTTTTTTTTGGCGTATTTTACTAAATTATTTTGTGACAGCAGTAGTTTTGTGGTTAGAGGAAGGAAACTCGTTGATATTTTCACTGTTTTGATGATTAAAATGTTCGTGTTTCATATGAACTTGCGATTAACTTAATTATTATATTTAGCAAATTTTATATTCGTAAATAGCGGTGTGCATAAATGTTGAAATATCGATATATCGTGTCGTTTAATGTGATGATACAGTATCGACATCGTGGGGTGCTCTATCCATATATCGTCAAGACAGTTTTTTTTGGCATATTTTACTAAATTATTCTGTTACAGTGCTACAGTTTTGTGGTTTAGTCAGAGGATGAAAACTCGTTTATGCGACACATTTGATATTTTCACAGTTTTGGCGATTAAAATGTTTGGGTTTCATAAGAACTTTGCGCAGGAAGTGGTTTAACAAAGACTTTTAGTGTCACAGCCATGATTTAACCTTTATTTTTTATCGAACTGTATCAAATCGATTTAGCGTATCGAATCGTAAGCTCACTGTATCGAGGTATGCATCGTATCGGCAACTTCTGAATGATACCCAGTGTTTTTTTCTTATACCTCTTTGTTTTTTCCTGTTTTAGTTAAGCAATCAGATTTCTACTTATCTACTATTTCTAAAAGTGTAAACAAAAAATCCACAATCCACTATGAAGGTTGAATATCTCTGAATATCTTTGTATAGTGTAACAGTGGCACTGTTTAACTTTTCTTTTTCCATGTAAGCCTCCCCCTGGCATCCTATATGTCATGTCATGTGTTCTCTATATTGTCATATTAATAATAATTTTTAAAAAAGGGGTGCAAAAGGCGCAATAAGCACTTATAAAGCTGCTAGAGTTTTGCATTTAAATCGCGCATATTACGTTGTTTTCTGATCTATGTTATAATGTCTCATCGTAAACGTACCCGGAGTTGATTTGTTTAATTCGTTCATGTTTAACGCACAAACCCTGCAGATTTAGGAGTTTTTCTCTCAAACTGAAAACACTGTTCCACCTGGTGATGTCATGTGGTAGTACAGGAAGCTCCATTGTGTTTTTAAACTCCTTACACCTTCACTAGAGCCATTTGGATAATTTCGTCCGTGGAATTGCCGATCTCTACTGAACTAAATGTAAAAGGTCGCAGCTGTCTTTTTTACTACGTATTTAGTAGGGTCATGCAAAAATATCGATATATCGTATTGTTTAATGTGATGATACAGTATCGATATCAGGTGCTGCTGTATCGATATATCGCCAAGAGTATTTTTTGGTTTATTTTACTAAATTATTTTGTTACAGCGCTACAGTTTTGTTGCTTTTTTAGGGCGGGAAAACTCATTTATGCAACACATTTGACATTTTCACTGTTTTGACGATTAAAATGTTTGTGTTTTATATGAACTTTATGCAAGAAGTGGTTTAACAAAGACTTTTAGTATCACAGCCATGATTTAGTGTTCATTTGTTATTGAACTGTATCGAATCGATTTGAAATATATCGTATCAAATGTATCGAGATATGTATCGTATCGTGGCCTATGTATCGAGGTATGTATCGTATCGACAACTTCTTAATGATACCCAGCCCTAGTATTTAGAATTTTTTATGACCATTTATATTTTTTACTCTTTGTTATTATATTATATTGTGATGTGTGAGCTTCTGTGTCCAAATAATTTCCTTGTGGATCAATAAAGTTTGTCTAAATCTAACTAAAAAACTAAAAAATCTAACTAAAAAACTACCGCTTCATGACATCACGAGGTGGAACCGAGAATTTTGAGCTTTGGAAGACAGAGTAATAATGGTGTTTTATGTTAAAGGTTGTATGGAGGATTTTTTTTTTGTTTCAGATTGTCATTAAAAGTTTAAAATACCATTACAGAGACGCAGCAGCCTTGTAATTATGATGACCGAAAAAAAAAAAAAAGAATGAAAATCTATCAACTGTGGACGTAGTGAGGCCAGATAAACATCAATAGAAAACGAGGCTCCCTCTTTATCTATTGGCTGTCAGGTTGTCAATCAAACTCCCTACATTTTTTGTGCAACTGACTCGCCGGCGCTCGGGGATGACGTGGTTTATGCAGCGGTTCTTGGAGGCTTTTTCAAACTGTAGCTTCCTTGCAATTCGCACAAAGTTTGTTGCGATGGCGGACGAGAATCCACAACAAGTTCGCCGCAAACGAAAGTCCGAAGGGTCTAAAAACTGACGCGTCGGTCGCTGAATTATTTCTAGGCAGGTCACTTCAACTGTAATTCTGAACACGCACTGGATGTAAACAAACGTGATTTGTAGAGTAAAGAGGCGGGAGGAGGAGGTGTTTCTGCTGAGGAGCTGTGGAGGAGGAAGGTGGTGTCACACATGCACGACATTTGAAAAAGAACTGTCGCTGTATTTCACGTCCCTTAAAAAAAATCCTCTATACAACCTTTAAGTATATGTGGAAAATATGTGTGTAAAATCAGTCGTCCAGATAGAATCTACGGCGAAGGAGAAATTCAATTTGTCAACTGGACAAATGTTTATTTAGCTCATCTAAGCTGCTTCTTCAGTTCCGGGAGAAGAACTGAAGAAGCAGCTTGGATTCGCTGTGAAATGTTTTTGACCTAAATAAACGTTTGTCGAGTTGACGAATTGGATTTCTGCTTCGTCATAAATAGAGAAAAATTCAGTTTACGTCGTCGTTTGTTGAGCTTGTGCAATCAAACTGTTGTAGACCTTGTTAAAGATTAGAGGATTATGTAACTTTTCTATCTGCTTATCACCATGAAGTTTCGTCATTGCTTCGCCTAAAATGCTGCACAGTATGACATTGAACAAATCGATCACCAAGGTAATAAACGGGCAAAGTTACAGGTCAGATCCGGGGAGAGGCGACCCCACGCAGAGTAAGAATGTCGGCGTTACAAGACTTCTTTAATCGAATGAGCGAGTCAGAAAAGTTTAATGTCATAATATGGAACATCAGGACACAAATAAGCAGCGAAAATGAGAAAAGTTACATAATACGACTTTTAAATTGGTAAGATATTTTGTTAATCAATGCTTAAAAGGCCTATATTATGCTGTTTTCTGATCTGTTATAATGTTTCTTCGTCACAATCAGACCTAGACTTGTGTTTTGTTTCATTCGCACATGTTTAACCCACAAACTTTGCGTATTTTCTGAGTTTTTCTCTCAAACTGAAAACACTCTGCTCCTCTTTGTGAAGCGCTCCACTGTGTTTTTAAACTCCACACACCTACACGAGAATCATTTGGATCATTTCAGACCTGGAGTTGCCAATCTCTTCCAGATCAGTTCCATCTGATGTGAGTGATTGCGCTCACACTTGTGCAGGTTTTGACAAAGAACAATTATGCAAACAAAAAATTGGCAAACTAATGTGGCAAAGACTAAAAGAAAAGATAAACTGTTACTGAGTTAGTGCTTGTAAACACCTATCCAAATTAGGGATGCACCAAACAAGCTTTTTCAGAACAGATACAGATTTCGATACTGGCTTCTGCTGATACTTGTATTACAAAAAATGATTCTTGTGAGATTTAAGACATGTTATAAAACCGTTACCTCATCAAAAACAGACCTGGAGTAGTTTTGTTTCAGTCACATGTTTGAGTAATCATTAGGGATGTAACAATAACCAAAATATCATGATACTGTATCGTCAAAGTTCTTACAATAATATCGTGGACCATCACAATATATCGAATTACAAGTCTCTTTGCTTAAATTAAGAGTTATGGTGCAGCAACAGCTAAAAAAAAAAAACAGAGGGAACTACATAGACCATGATCCTTTGCTCCATTTCAGTGCAAACTACATGAAGAAATGTTTTTTTGTTTGTTTTTTTT